ACATGATGAGTAACAGGCCCTTCTGTTGTATTTCACTTCTCCGGCAAATGCTGAAGATCCATAGTCTGTCGCACACAAGCCACGGCCTATTCTCTGGCTCACATAACACAGGAATACACTATGGCTTCTTGCCCTTGATTTTTCAGCACAGGCATAATTTCCTGCTTTTCTTTGGTTAATTAAAAGCAAATATCTCTTTGCAATGCAGATAGCTGCTCTGTCAGTCATGCCAGGACACAGTGGCCTCACTGCACATGATTTTTAATTGAATGACTCCCACTCCTGAGACCTTTGTGTCTTTCATTAATCAGTTATATACATGGTAAAGGTGAAGCTTAATGAGGTATGTGTCAGGCATTCTGACATAGGGTGGCCTGGGTGGATAAACACACTGTTCCACATTTTCATAATTTGACAATTGGCATTTTGCGGCCTGCATGTCAGTATGCAATGATTCTAATAAATGCAAAGATTGCTTACTTGATATCAAGATGACCTCTCAGCAGCAGAAAAAAATAACTCCTTGAGAAGTTATTTTTGAGAAGAGAGAACATCAGGATCATATCACTGGCTTTGTTTTAGAGTTGAGCCGGGAGCAAGTGAGCCATTTGGTAGGAGGGAGAAGAGGCTTACTTCAGCTCTACTTCAGCTAAAGGCAGAACAATGCAGTTATTACGCTTGGTGGCTCTGGACCCAGATGGTGTGGGCTCACACTGCAGCACTGCTAGCCAGGAAAATTACTTAAATGCTTTACGCCTCAGTTTCCTCATCAGTAAAACGAGGGTAATGATAGTGCTTACTTCATAAGGTTGTTGTGAGGGTTGAATGAGCAAATACATAGAGAGGTGCTAGAACAGGCTCTGGTATATACGGATGCTTATGAAATGCCAATATTCTAATATTTACGTGCTTCTGTCTGTTATTTGACAATGTCAACAATCAGATGTTTAAGAATGAATGAATTTAGGGTTTTTTTCTCCCCAGGGTTGGGGCAAGAGGATAGGTTTCTTTTACTTTTCCTCTGAAGCACTTAGTGCTTAGAGCTCAGTGGGTAAGCATATGAGGCCACAAGCCAGGCTGCTGGGCTTTAAATTCCAACTTGTGTTCACATCTTTGGCTAGTCTCAGAAACATGCTTGCATGCTAGAAGATTCTGAGAAGCTCAGTGGAGAGCAACAGTTGGGAAATTAAAAGCACACATCTGAGCCTTTGCCAAGTTAAAGGTGCTTGTTAAACGCTCCAGTCTCCCACTTAAGGCTCATTAAAATAAAAATGATGTGTTAGGACTAAAAGATTCACTTTAGACTGAGGGCAAAGTAAAAATAGACTTACAATAACAAAATGGAAAACAAAACCTTTGCAAGCTCAAGCTCATCAGCCAGTAATTTAGCTGCTTGTCAGGACAAAGCCCAGCATGCCTGGAGTACCAACAACATATCATCCATGATGTCTAATATACAGATAACAATTATTAATGATATGAAGAAACAGGAAAATGTGACACACGGTTAAGGAAAAAAGTCAATAGAAACAAACTCCAAGATGACCCAATATTGGAATTTGCAGACAAGAACTATAAAGCACCTCTTAAGTTCAAGAACTTAAAGGAAAAGATAGTCATGTTGAATGAACAGATGGAGTATTGCAATAGAGAAATAAAAATCTATAAAAATAAGCAAAGTTAAATCCCATAACTGAAAAACAAAATGTTAGAAATAAAAAAAGGAGCCACAAGATAGGCTTAAGAGCAGATGGGCAACATTAGAAGAAAAGGTAAGTAAACTTGAGGACAGACTAATAATAATTATCCAATGTGGAAACTAGAGAGAATAAGACGTGAGTGACTCGTGGAACAGTACCAAGCAGTCAGATATACACGTGATTAGAGCATCCAAAGGAGAGGAGAGAGAATGGGGCAGAAAAGATATTTGAGGATACAGTGGCCAAAATTTCTGAAATTGGGTATAAAACATATATTTATGGATTCAAAGATCTCAGTGAGCCACAAGCAGTTTAAGTACAGAGGAAAAACAAGAGCATCCAGCACATCACAGTAAAACTGAGGGAGACCAAAATAAAGAGAAATACTTATAAGCATTCAGGGAATAACGACACATGACACACAGGAGATCAACGGTTTGAATTTCTGATAACTTTTTTTATCAGAAATAGGAGGTAAGAAGATGATGGAGTTACATCTTTAAAGCTTGGAAAGAAAACTATAACCCAGAATTTTATATCTAGCAAAACATGCCTTCAGAAATGGAGGTGTTATAAAGGCATTGAAAAATCAATCAATCAATCAATCAATCCAGTGAAAGCTAAAAACTACTTGTTGCCACCAGACCTGCATTGAGAAAAATGCTAAGTAAGTCCTTCAGCTAAAAGGGAAATGACACCAGGTGGGAACTTGGATTGGTAGAAGGGAATGGAGAGCATTGAAAAGAGTAAATACAAATGCTAAATCCACCCCCCCCTTAATTTCTTTAAGAGACAAATGACTATCACAAATAATGCAAAAAATAATAGCACTCTATCATGGTGTTTATAACATTACTACATGTAAAATGTATGATAAAAACCTAAAGGTCACAGGATAACAAATGGATTATATTGTTCTCACATTTTTGTGTAAAACAGTACAATATGAACTTGGTGTACACTGTGCTAAGTTAAAAATGACTATTGTAATTTGTAGAGCAATCACTACAAAATAAGAAAGAGGCTTTGCTAAAAGGACAATAAAGGAATCCAAATAAAGTAATAAAAAGTATGGCATTACCCCAAAAGAAACAGGAAAGAACAAGCAGAAGAATAAAAGAAGAGATGGGGCAGTGGAGAACAAAATAACAAATGGTGGACTCAACACAACCGTATGACGAACTGCATTTAGTGTAAATGGGCAAAGCCTCCAAATAAATGATGTATCTGGTCAGGGTGAATAAGAAAGCAAGACTCACCCATGTGCTGTCCACAGAAAACGCACCATAACCAGAAAGACACTGAAAATAAAAGAGTTATCAAGAAAGTTGATGTAGCTCTAATAGTATGAGGCCAGTAGCCTTCAGGACAAGGAGTATTGCCAGAGACAAAAAGGGACATTTCATGATAAAATAACCAAACAGGAGGTCACCCCCATCCTAAATGTGGACACAGCTCCTAACGTCTGTGAACATAAAAACCAACAGAACGAAAGGAAGAAATACATGATCACGGTGGGAGCTTTCAACACCCTATGGCAGTAGGTGATAGGACAAATAAACAACAAAAAAATTAAAAAATGAACAAGCAAGTCATAGAACAAGAGACAATATTTGCAACATGTGTGTCTGGCAAAGGACTCATATCCAGAGTATACAAAGAGCTTTTGCAAATCACAAGACCAACCATGCAGTGAAAAATATGTGAATGACCTGATAGATACTTCAAAAAGAAGTTACATGAGGACCAAAAACCCTGTGAAAATGATGGCTACACGGTTGCGTACATTTTTCAAAGCTTGCACTTGAGATGTACACTTAAGATCTCTGCACTTCCCCATATATAATTTTTACCTTAATAAAAATGGTGCAGGAGGACAAAGAAGAGCTGTACCTAGGTTTGAACCCCAGCTCAGCCACGTGGCCTTGGGCAAGTTACTGGACCTCTTGGAGGCCCAGGGTCTTTATCTGTAAATGGGATGAGGATGGACTCTTCATGGGGTTGCAATGTAACAACACAAAGAGGCGACACAGCTGGTCCATAGAGGCGAGGCACTCTCCTAAACAGCTTAGTGGTCTTTACTCCCGACCTGCCTTCCTCCCCTCCCACCTCCCAGCTCTTCAAAATTCTCTCTCCATGGATTCCTGCAGGACAAGCAGGTGGGGAAAGGGGAGGGGGGCCATGTCATGACTCGCCGCAGTGGTGGGGATCATGTGGCCCGGAGAACAAAATCCCATCGCCATCACATCCTCACTGTGGCTGTCAGCATGACGTGGAGAAGGAACCAGTCCTATGGGCAGCAGGCAAGCGCCCACGTTTATCCGTGCCTCCGGGCCCCCAAGCTGATGCGCAGCTGACACCTTGCCCCAGGTACGGGGGAGTCCTTGCTAGGTGGGCATCTTTGCGCAAAGCTGGCTTATCTGGCATTCTAGCAACTACAGTGGAATAGAACAGCATAAGGACAACCAACTCAAAGAAATAACAATGAAATCCTGTGAGGTTTTAATATTAAAGATGAGTGTTCTGCATCCAAGTGCTTGACAACTTGCTAATCCTTATGTGTATATATGCATAGTGTCCCGATGTGTCCGTCACCTACCTATTTAACACCGACCCATTACCATCATCACCCACATCTAAATAATATCAGAGAATCATTGCTTTTAGGGCTGACAGTACCATTGCTTCATTTTGGTGGTACGAGAGAGACGCAGGGAGGGGAAGAGCTCACCTAAGATCAGGAGGCTGGGTCGTGCATGGATCTTTTAGGGTATCTTATCCTCCAGCCCCGAAATCATGGAGCATTTACCTCCCCCTGTGGTCAGCTTAGCTTCCTGCAGGCTCCTCCGTCTCACCTGTGTGGGGAGCGGATGTGCCCAACGGACTATACCCTGGCAGCTCACACCATGCGTGTAAGATCACCCAAAAATGCAAGTGGCTGGCGTCATTATGGAAGGAAGAAGGGAGCTGGAGAGAGAAATCGTGGCTTATGATTTCAGTGACAGGTAGGGGCATTTCAGGAAGGATTCCTGTGGCGGGAGGAGGCTGATCTGGACGGCGGAGCAGGGATGGTTAACACAAAGGAAGAAGCTGTTTCTCCCTGTGGGATGCTTGGCCAGATGAGGATGAAGTGACTCACAGCAGGATGCGATTGGGGAGTTCAGGAGAGATGGGTGCGTCAGCCTAAGGCAACCATCTGCCAGGGTCCCTGCTCCTTGGCTTAAGGACATTAATGGCGGGATTTGAGTATGTGATTTGAACCAGGGAGGGGGACTGGAAACCAAGAAATGCAACAAGTACCTTGACGACCACATGCAGCATCATCTGCAGGCCGTTCTTGCCGGGGTACTTCCCTGCGATGTTCGCTGCCGACAGGTTGAAGAGGTTGGCGCCCGTTTCCGTGCAGAGGGCGTGGACCAGCATTTTCTTCCCTACCCCGGATGGCCCTGCCAGCAGCAGGGACTTCACCAGAGGAGCTTTCTCGTGCACCGTTGCAGAACCTACAAAATGCAGAGGCACAGGCTCTACAATCCCGCAGAGAAGCCAAGGGGCGCTGAGACCGGGATCCCTCACGGCTGTCCCTGCAGGGTGTGACCCCAGTTTCTGCAACAGTGATGAATGTGTCCAAAGCATTTCTACCCGGAGGCACACCTCACCGTCTTAGTTGGCCCGTGACACCTTTGATTTGTAGGTCAGGGCTCCAGGTGGGACCACAGGATCTCCTTGCTTATTCTGTACGTGGCTTTCCTGCTGCCCCTCACCCTAGAATTTCCTCCAACTCATAATTCTAAAGAACATTCCTGCCATAACTTACCTCTGGCATTTTTTTTGGGGGGGGGGCGGATCTGCTTGTCGGCAGTGGTGTGACATTCTCTGAAAGCTTAGGGAAAGGAATGTGGACATGCAGCCGGTCGGGGGGGCTGAGAATGTTCGTTATGATTCTTGGGAGAAGGAGAGAACCAAGAGCCGGGTGCGGTGTGGCCCCGGGTCCCAGCCCGGCAGTGGGGACAGAGTCCACCTGACTCGGGGCTGCGGGGTGCCTCGAGTCACCACGCAGGCACTCAGAGGCCGTCACACTGTCCACGTCCTCCGGGGCTCGGGCTTGAGTGTCTTCTGTCGTCCTGAACACAAGCGGAGCGCAGGGCGGCACTAAGCAATTCTAAAATGAGATCCTGGGAAGTGCTGTGGTCACAACGTCTACTATCATGGGACTCGGCTTTGGTCAGCCACTGGGCATCTCTGACCAGCGGCAAATATACTCCTATTACAATTATTATTGTGCCTTCTTTTTTCCCCCTGGGGTAACTGAAAACATATAGGGAATTTAGCAAAGGAGCGGAAACAATTTTTATGGTTCCCTAACATACACTTGGGAACTGGTTTCGAGCAAGTTCTGTTGAAAATGCAATGGCATAGGCACGCTCTACTGGGGGCCGGCGAGGGCTACGATACCGTCACATGGTGACGGAGATCTTTGTCTCATGATGGGAGACAGACACCGTCCGTTGGGCGGCCGTGCGGGGGGGGGGGGTCCAGCGTGGAGGGGTCCGGACTTGCTGTGCAGGGCTTATGGCCGGGCCGGGAGCTGAACCCGAGTGGACGTGACCAGACAGGAGGCTAGGAGTGCTGAGATCGAGCAAGCCACGGAAGGTTCAGAGAGGAGGCTAACTCCAGGTCGGGGTTGGCGGGGGCGGCGGGGGGCTCAGGCCTGGCTTCCGGGCGAGGGTGGCACCTGAGCTGGCCTCTGAGGGGACAGCAGGGCAACGTGCAGAGACGAGGGCTGGGAAGTCAGACAGGCAGTGGGGAGCGGCAGACAGTTGTTACCAGCAATGCAGCCGAGGCTGGGGAGGGACACTGATGCCGCCCGTAGGGGTCCCTGGGGGGCGGCTGGGGGTGCAGATCTGCCAAGAGTGCTGGCCGAAAGCAGGGAGCACGGACAGGACCATGCGAGGACGGAATCCAGGGAGGGGCAGCAGGAGGGAAGCGGCAGGACGGGGTGGGGTGGATCCATTCACTCCCGGGAAGATGGGGTCACTGGGGTCACTCAGAGAGGGGGAGGCGGTGGTCCCGGCAGGCCTCCGCACTCGGGCCTCGCGGGCCCCTGCACAGCTGATCGGATGGGTGGGCACCCCCGCCACGCGGGCCACGGCTTCTCCCGCTCACCCCGCCTTTCAACAGCAGATTTAACAAATACGCAGGACTGCTGGGAGGCAGAGGGAATGTCGGGGCCTCTGCGCATTTACCCTTTCCGGCTCTCGGCTCCCGAGGATTGAAGAGTCACAAGGGGGCTGGTGATCCGCATCCTTCCTAAACCCTGCTCGGCCACCCCTCTGACCCCAGACTCTGAGGAGATTCCTTAGGATCCTGGAAAGGCTCACTCATCTGTAAGCGTGGGGATGTTCACCTCCACTGATTCTGTGGGGAACTGAAACGATGCATGTAAAACTTGTCAGCACCCTGCTTCTGCTCCGCGAGTGCCCTCCTCCCTCCATGTTCTGTGGGACAGTGACATTTCTGGGAGGGTGACTGGGGGAATGCTGACCAGATGCATCCTGGGTGCTCCCTCATGTGCCCAGGGGGCTTGGAAAGCTCATATCTCGTCCCGGGAGCCCTGGCTGAGGCTCCTGGGGCTCTGGAGGCCACCAGGTGCTTGCGTTGCCCGGCCCAGGGTGCACAGTGGCCTCACGGTGTGTCCTCAGGGCCCTCTGCAGAGGGTCTGGGTGGGCTGGTCCTGGCAGTGGTGACCTGGACACCAGGGCCCACAAACACGTCCCTTGTAGTAACTGGTACCCTTCTAGATCTATGAAGTTTAAAGGAAGCACTTGAAAGCAGACCTGTGAACGTACTTGGCCGTCTGGCCTCTTTGTGTCTTGCAAACACACATACGGGTCCTGAGAAGAGAAGCCCGGTGGCTCTGGGGTAGGTGGGCAGCCCATAGCGACTGCAGGATCCGCATTGACAACAGGAGGGCTCAAGTGGGATGTGTCTCGACCATCCTTCTTCTGATGCTTTTAAGCCAGTTTGGAAGCCACATCCATCATTTTTTATCCTCGAGCCAAGGATCAAACACACCGCCCCCCTCATGTCCTAGGAGTTCCATGAAAAACACGCTGGGTCTTGGCGCTTTCTGCTCTACTGCTTTCCATCATGCTGTAATGAGGGCTGGGGGCTAATTACTTTATTGGCATGGGCCTCATAAATATCGCGTATTTGTTTTGTTGGCCCCCAAAGTATCATATACTTATTTATGATATATTTTATATATATACATATATATATATATATATATATATGAAATTTATGTTGACTCCCAATTCCACTTACTACTTCGGCATTAAATTAAAAAGAGGAATGAACTATTTCTTGCCCGTAGGTCTAGGTCAAAGGGGGGAACAGTATTATAAGTGCCCGAACGATTCCCATACTGTGTTAAAGCCAGTCAAACAAATAAAACATGATTTCTATTTCAGAATTGCCATCAGAGCAAAGTCTAGCTGGGGTTCCTGCTCCTGCCCCTGCCCCAGATGACTCAGGTCATGCACATAAAAAAAGTTATTAAAATGATAAGGGCGAAGGAAAGCAGCAGATAGCTCTGTGACAAAGAGCCCCGCCCTTCCTGCACCTGTCGGCGCGCTGCAGAATTCTGGTCTGTTGGCCCGAACAATCACGGTCGAATTGTATTTAGCAATTTAGAGTGGATGTCGGTGAAAACCGGTGGAGCCCTGATCCTTCAGATGCATGAAATACACTTTCACTGATTCATGAAAGGCCGGCCTTGTTAAGGGCCTAGTAACAGAAGCCTGTGTGTAAAAGGCAAGCCTAACATTAGCCCTTTGTCTAATTTGATTAATTTTAATTGCAGGTGCTTGCTTGGGTTATTATCTCTCCGGATGATTGCCGACGGGACCTTCAGTCCAGAATGTTAAGCAGGCACGCCAAAGCGGTGCCAACGTGCCCCGCCCCGGGTAGCACCCTCCTGTGCTCTCGGGATGCAGGGTGGCCAGAGAACTACCCGCCCTCGAAACTGTCAGCACGAAGAGTTCCACCAAGACGAGGCTGCCAAAGGCGGCAAGCAAGGGCACCCCTGCTCCTTGGAAAAGCACAAGTGTGTGGAGTCTTTACCTAGTGGCAAGATCCCGTACAGGGCGATGAGCTGTCTGACATCCAGGAGCGAAGGCATGGGTTCTATGGACACCTGGCGAAGGGTGGTCCCCAAGTAACTGTACTCTCCTAGCGCAACAGAAACAGAGCATAAGTCAGTGGGAGCCTGGGCTGGTCTGAGCTGCATCATTCTGGCACTTGCAAGACTAACCCAGAATGCACAGTCAACACTTCTGAGCAAACAGAATGGTGTTCCCGAGAGTCATGAAGAGCACATCTTCTCTCAGACAAAGGCCTGGAGGAAAACCCATCCCGTCACGATAGCACTGCTCTCCTGGCTACGGTCACGGGGAAGTCTGCTGAGTATGACACTAACCTCCCGGGATTTCTAAAAAAATAACCTGTGAAATATCGAACACGTGAAGTGGCACAAAGTTCTACGATGAAGGACATGCAAAGTAGACTAAAACATGGTAGGCTTTATTTAATTCACACTCGAAGCGATTATGTCTAACATTTGCACAGACTTTAAAAATAAATTATTTAAGATCCATGTGGAATTTGTACTGGAGCAGTGTAAATCTGAAGCTAAAACGCAATCGTTTGAAAGGAAGGCTATGAGTCTAATTTAGGATAAATAGAAACATCTCCTTTTGAGGGTAATATTCATTTACATTTTTATCATTTTCGAAGGATTACCAAAGGAATAATACAGAAATAAATCTTTACAGGTTTAATTAGAAGGCATCAAAGGTCTTAATTGTAACTAGTCATAAATCTGAAGTGTTATTTTCTAAGTAATTTAGATAAGGTCACCAAGAAAATTAGTTTGCCTGTCTCCATTTGTCATGAGGAGGGACCTTTATGTGCTCATACGGTTCTCTCTTGATTTGTACCTGAATCTGAAGCAAAAATATTCAGTGCATGAGTCACAGTGTCTGGATCATTTTTTCCCTGACTTTTTCTTTCTATAAGAGGTATGGATCTTGCAGAGCTCTTGATGTTCTATATGTATGTCAAATATAATGCACTTACGTGTATGCGAAATAAAGCTTTTAAAGCATTTTTGAATGCTAAGCCAATTAGAATTAAGGACCAGATAATGCTGGCTGTTTTGTTGTGGAGGGCAGGCTCTTACATGAAAAAAAAAAAAAGTCCTTGGCAAGGGACTTTGGAGAGAATGAGTGATAGTGAAAGCTTCCACTGCGGCTTCCGATCCCCGCGCTTTTTAATGAACAGGTAATAAATAGGAGAGTGGTTAATTTTGCCTTCACTAGAGCTGGAAGAGATCCTGTAGCCACCATTAAATCCGGGGCTTATTGCTGTAAACATGACATTGGAGGTGATCTGAAAGTGACCCCAATTTTCCTGCTTAAATAAATCCGTATTAATATCCAGATGCACCATATTTTCTAGAACCTAACAGATTTTATTTAGACACATCATATTAAGTTGAATTAGTGGGTGTTGGTTCTGATGGCGCGAAGGACACGACCAGCCCCGGCCACTTCCCAAGGGCTGACTCTCATCCTGGAAGCGCGTGGCTGTGTTTGGCAATCGCCGGACGTGGAAGCCATAAGGCTCTTCCCATCCACGCAGGCAGAGCTTAGAAACTTCAGGATTCCCTATATGGATACCAGGTCTTCCGCCAGGGAGGGAAGAGGGAAACGGTGGAGGAAAAGGTATTTTAAGTCCAAGGCATGATCAAAGGCCAGAAAGCCTACAACAGTGGATGGAAAAGAAACGGGACGTGTTGCGGGTCGGACAGTGTTTCCTTACAATTCCTATGTTGAAATCCAGATCCCCGATATCTCAGAATGTGACCTCATTTGGAAATAGGGCCGCTGCAGATATAACCAGTGAAGGTGAGGTCCTTAGGGTGGGTCCCAGTGCATGACGACTGGTGTCCTTTACAAAAAGGGGCAACCTGCACACAGGCATGGGCATGGGGAGGGCGTGTGGAGTGGACGTGGGGACGGGGAGACGTAGCAGAGTGTCACAGGAGCTCGGGGACAGCGGGGCGGCCGGGCAGGAGGGCTGGCAGTGGGAGCAAGAGAGACGGGGGTTGGAGGGAGGGGGCATGGAGGCCTCAGCGAAGCAACAGCTTCTCCCTCAGGCCCTGAGAAGGAACCAGCCCTGCCAACACCCTGATCTTGGGCTTCTGGCCTGCAGGCTGTGACGGAATGTTTGCGACACCTGTTTCAGCAGCCCTAGCAAACTGGTACAGAGGGAGTGAAATAATGGGAGAGAATGGGGACATGAGAGCAGGGAAAAAAAAATAACGAGAAATCAAAAAGTAATTGAGAAATAAAGGTGCCAATCAGCCTCTAATACTCCATTCTGCGCCACGTAGCATAGAAAGGGTATGAAGAACCGAGCAATTTTTAACAAGTTGTAGCTTCCTAAATACATTCCTGGGGGATGAGGGGCCGAGGCTCAAGAGCAGACGCTGCTGGTGGACATCCAGCCACCTCCACTCCTCCAAGGACAGGGACGGGGACGCGTGCTGCATGCTTAGGATTCAGGAACAAATTAACATCACAAAAAGACATGAAAATAATAATGATTTCCTGTTTCTAGACTGTTGGGCTGGACGCAGGCCACCCAGCTTCCAGGACAAGGTCAGCAGAGAGTCGGCTCCTGCTGACTTCGTGTTGTGACAGCGCTGCTGAGACGGTGCACCTGCCCGGGCATCACCTACTCTGAAGCTCTGGGGGACGGGGTAGGGGGGTTCATGTGTACACGTGTAAGTCATGCTGTCTACGATGTTGAGTTTTCTCCTCTGTAGGGCAGGCTCTGAACACCCAGGAGAGGGTCCCAACACAGTAACTCTGGCCTTGGGTCAATGCTCCCCCAAAAGCCCAGTGGCTGAACCATGAGTGGGGCCAGCTAATTTGGGGGGATATTAATTTATGATTAATACTATCCTCCCTGTATTTTTGCCCTGAGCTTGCCAAAGGCTGGGCGAGAACGCAGCCACCAGCAAGAGCAGGACAATAGCTAGCTCTGCGCCAGGCCAAGCATGTCCCGAAGGCCTCATCCCCTAACTCATTATTCACAGCGATTTAATGAGGCCAGAGCTGCTCTTGTTCCCCTAATTGTGGAAACTGAGGCACAGAAGGATCCCATAAAGGGCTAGGAGGTCGGGGAGGGGACATTCTGTCTTTCATATTTTATTTCTCTCGAAGCATTACTTACTCATTCTTGCATGCATGGCAATTTATCTTCTGAAATTATTTTTTCTCCTTATTTCTAATATTCCTTGAGTTTCGTCAGCTCATTTCTGAGTTTTTCTAATTCCATTTCGTGTATTCTTACATTTCTTCTGTAATTTTCTCATTGTGTTAGCTTGCTTGAAAGAGTGGGCTCCATTTACATGTCTTTTTGTGATGTTAATTTGTTCCTTCTTTCTTTTTGATAGGAACTTTGCATAGGCTTTGATCTTGGATGTTTCCAAGACGTTAATTTTATATGAGACAGCATTTCTATACTTTTAGAAGTAAGTTTGGCTCCGGGTAGCTTTTTAAATGTCATGGAGCCCCCTCTTCTGTTGTTTCCAGATAAATTAAAAGCACAGTGGTGTGTTTTGAGGTGGCCGGACCCGTCCCGGTCACAGATGCTGCTTCCCGGTGAGTGCTTGCTGGTTGGTTCCGTGTTCCTCTGTTCTGTGTCCCTAGTGGCTTGTACTTTGAGGTTTGAGGGGAGACCGTGTCATTTAGTTTTGGTGTAAATGTTGTCTGCAGGTTTCCATCTTTGCTGTCTGGATGCATTGTCTATTTTTATGTGGGGATTTGGCACGATCCACTGCTGTCTTTCAAGCTAAGGGATCTTAACAGGGAAAAAAAAATAAGGAAAACATGGAAAAGCCCCTGTGGCAGAATGACTGATTTTGTTAGACTGGGTCATTTTCTTTTTCTTTCAGATTTTTAATTTAAATTGCAGTTAGTTAACATGCAGTGTGCAATGCCGGTTTCCGGTTCATTGATTCATCACTTACATACAACACCCAGTGCTCATCACAAGTGCCCTCCTTAATGCCCGTCACCCGTCTAGCCCATCTCCCACCCATCTCCCCTCCATCGACCCTCAGTTTGTTCTCTAAGAGTCTCTTAGGGTTTGTTTCTCTCTCTCTTTTTTCCCCCCTTCCACTATGTTAGTCTGTTTTGTTTCTTAAATTCCACATATGAGTGAAATCATATGGTATGTGTCTTTCTCTGACTGACTTACTTCACTTGGCATAATACTCTCTAACTCCATCCATGTCATTGCAAACGGCAAGATTTCATTCTTATTGATGGCTGAATAATATTCCATTGTATATATACCACATCTTCTTTATCCATTCATCTGTCGATGGACATCTGGGCTCTTTCCATGGTTTGGCTATCGTTGATAATGCTGCTGTAAACATCAGGGTGCATGTACCCCTTTGAATCTGTATTTTTGTACCCTTTGGGTAAATACCTAGTAGTGCAATTGTTGGATCATAGGGTAGTTCTATTTTTAACTTTTGGGGAAACTCCATACTGTTTTCCAGAGTGGCCGCACCAGTTGGCATCTCCACCAACAGTACAAGATGGTTCCCCTTTCTCCACATCCCCACTGACATCTGTTGTTTCTTGTGTTGTTAATTTTAGCCATTTTGACAGGTGTGAGGTGGTATCTCATCTCGGTTGTGAGGTTTTTCCCTGATGATGAGAGATGTTGAATATCTTTTCATGTGTCTGTTGGCCATCTGGATGTCCTCTTTGGAAAAATGGCTATCATTAGACTGGGTCATTTTCACTTGAATTCACTGTTAAGTGTCTGATTGCAGTCACTTTGGCCTTTGGTGTCATAAAGATGCTGCCTGGAAACTGACAGATCATTGCAAAGTCCAAGATGGGTAAGAAATAAAACAGAAGATGAGAAATAGGTTCATTATTTTTGGAGACTCCACCTTGTGCTGTGTACTGTATAAACACTAGAAATTCCGCGATGAACAAAAAGACACAATGTCAAAAGAGACGGCAGTTGAGGAGAAGTCAGAGATCTGAATCACAAGGAAAGGGTCAGGGTTCTGTGAAAAATGCCATTTTTTCACATGAAAAGAATTAACAGAACAAAATCAAGGGAATCCAGGAGAAAACCCTTTAGTAGTTGAATAAGAAACACATAAAAGAAATAGAAATCCAATATATAACCCAGTATATGTTGTGGCAAAATTATTTTACTATTAGAAAAAATGAATGATCCTCCAGACCCTCAAGAAGGAAATGTGGCTTTATTTCAAAGGGATTAAAGTAATCATTTTTTTGATCAGAGGGAAATGTCAACCTTTTCGTTCCTACAGGCTAAAATTAAGTCAATGTACAATATAATACAATAAAAGAGATTCCATGTTTCTACATGGATGCCACAACAATTTAAAAAGAGGGTGGGAAGGACATATCTTTCTAGAAGAATGGCACCTACCAAACATAGTAAGGATGAAAAAAAATAGAAGACCCACATTTTATAACCCCCCCTAGCAGTAATCAAAGCAGGCAAAAATCATCAATGGATGATAAAAACTTTAAGCCAGTTGGGAACAGATTTTCCAGAGCTTTGAAGAATCCCCCCCTCCCCCCAGGTTATTCATTAACTACAAAGGTTAAAGTGAAGCTTGACAGTGGAGAAATCTGGGGAACAGATCTTCGGCCAGTGATGGAACTTAATGTCCCCAGTGATGGGACACATATGCTCCCAGCGTGAAACATTGAGGACATAATATCACCTGTGGAGTCTGCCTCTCAGAAATGTTTAACCCAAATCCAGTCACGAGGAAACCACCAAACCACGTCTGTGGAAGGACAGTCTGTGAAACAGCTCGGACTCTGACACCGTCCATCAATGGTGTGAATGTGAAGGATGTTGGGTTGGAGGTTGTTCTAGATCAAAGGCAGGAAAGGCAACTAACCAGATAGGAGCACCACAGCCACGGTCCTTGATTGGATTTTGGATTCAGAAAGACAAACATTTATAAAGGACAATATTAGGACAATTGGGGGAGTAGATCACTTCCTAGGTATTAAGTAATAGCATCGTAATAATGTCAAGTTGTCTGAGTGTGGTTATTCTTTTGTGGTTATGTGGGAGAATGTTCTGGTTCATATATGAAGGAAAGGGAACATTATACCTGCCTCAGGGTGCTGGGATTAGGAAGAAATTTTTATCTATTTTATTTATTTATTTATTTATTTATTTATTTATTTATTTATTTATATATATTTTTATTTATTTATTTATGATCACTAAGAATTTTAAGTTTTAAGTGTGCTTGCAGGTCATTATGTTTTTTTTTTTTTAATTAAGAGAAAACATTAGTTGGGGATGCTGATAGCAAATGTCCCCCCTCCTTCCTTTCAGCTACTTCTGTGGTGGCCCTTTCTGGTAGGAATTCCTCCTCTAAGAACTGTGTGTTGTGCAAATGCCAGGTGCTGTTCCCTGGGGCATTTTGTTTAAATCTGAAAGTGTGAATAATTCCTTTCCTCAGTTTGGCTTATGCCAGCCAGAACGCCTCAAGGAACTTTGCTAGTAGGCTCAAAGAGAGCTGGGAGCGAGCTGGACCTATGCGTTCACAGCACGGAATGAATTAAAATCAATTCGGGCCAACCAAAATCAACCACAAGCCACCACGGGGGCCAGGTTTTGGTTTGGACAGAAACGAAAGGAAACCTATTTCCAGCTGTCGGGACCTCGCAACCCAAGGGGCGACATATGTGGTACATACATGCGTTATTCTTGGTGTATCTTACCGATGTAATCAGAGAGGTTAACTTTCAGAGCCTGGATCAGCAGCCCTTCTTCCACCAGTTCCTTATACAGAGACTCAATGGTCCTGGTGATAAAGCAGACCAGCTATTCCATGAGCAGACAATAAAATCAGCATTTCTGTTAATCACATACACAGAGAACTTTCACCAGATCTATTTCTAAGCACATTTGTATCTATGCAAATAAGTTGATTTTTGGAAGAGTTCCTCCAATTTGGGGGACACATTAGGCTTTAAAAACAATACTTTTGCTCATCCGTGTGTACTTCTGACGTTTCCCATTAATAAGAATTATATCTGTGGGCATCTGAGACCAGCTATCGCTCCTCCAGTGTGCCCTTTCATTAGTCCTTGTGATGGCACAGATATGAATTAGAAATTGCCCAATAATAGTAGCGCAATGGGCCCACAATTATACATTCAGTTAGCATCTGCAACCCATAGTAGATCATTAATCCTTTGTGAAATTGATGTTTCCTTTTTAACCCAATAGCATAATAGTTTAGGAGAAATATCTATAAAGAACAAAGGCTTACAGGGGAACTAATTCTACTCCGAAAGACAAATGTTTAACACAGTGAGTGTGATGATTTTTTTTTTTTTGGAGGATGTTATACTTTTCCTTAGTGTTTACAGATGTCAAAACCACTTCCCTAAGAGGGCCTTGGGCATATAGCCAGCACACTGGTAATTTATACTAATTGAAGGAAAAAATCAAGACAGTATCCCACTTAATGATTGAAACTCCCAGTGAATTTTTTTTTTTTTTTTTTTTTTACTCCCAGTGAAATTAACTGGGGCTTGGTTTGTAGGAATTTAGATAGGTCAAGCTCAAACATTGAGTTTAATCCTTTGAGATGTTTTGCCTATTCCCTTTTCATTTTTAGGGGCCTTATGCTTTAGTTCTACCCGAGTCTTTCTTTAGAATGAAGGATTGTAAATATATTAACTATATTTCACTAGTTCTTTGTTCTATGATCCAGGTTAATGTGAGCAAGAATATCAGTTATATTTAAGCCAAACACCATTGGGATAAATATTAATTCAATGACCCCATTCTTCAATTGACCAGAATTTCATTCTTTCAAATATATTTAAAATAGTATTTAAATTAAAATAACATTTAAAATTCTGTGTTGAATTAAGAAGGTTTTAATTGTAATGGGATTTGGGATAATAGTATCTGACCAGTATCAAGAAAGTACCAACTGTCCTTTTTTTTTAAAAACTAGAATATTGATTTAATAATAAACAGAATATATGCATAAAATGTTAACATAAAATTGAAGAAGATTCTCTAAAACAATCAAAACAAAATACATGAAGAAGGTTGGAACACAAGCCTGTATTTGGATCTTTCCAGTGAAATAAACTTCTGTTATGGAATAAAACATTTTCAACTTTAAAACTACCTGAAATATGATAAAAGTACTGGCTTCAGGTTGATATTAACTAGATGAGAAAAATGGAAGTTGTCTTAGAGTGTTTTGGTGGGATTGGCCTTAGTCCAGAGACGTAGGGTCTCCAAAATTGAAAAGTCTTCTAGGAAGGAGACAGCCAGTTATTTCTATACTTTTGGGCATAAGAATGAATAAAACAGTCCTGGTCTCTCTTTATTTCACTAGAGAACCGCTTTTGGCCCATTTACGGTAGTTCAATTATACAGAAGCAAGTGTAAGAACATATTCAATGTCTAATGGATATTGTTCATGAGCTACATACGTGTGATCTGTATTGTTAAAGCTGCATTTTATTTGGTAAACTCATCTTTATATGCATGAGAATGTGAATGAAAAACTTTAATTTAGTGGTCAGGTCATATTGGTTGATTTGATTTTAGCTCTGGTTTGTGTCTGGATGAGGCACTTAGCATAATCTTCTTCGCCTGAAAGATGTACTTGGTTTTGGGGCTAATGTAAGAGCAAAGGAGAAAGGTGGGTTTCAAAAGCTACTAAAAAACAGCTGTGTCCTGTGGCACTGTGTGCATTCATAGGTTGGACCCCTGTCTAGGGAAGGGAGCTCCCTGGGTCCCCAGGAGGCATTAGTGCTGGCACTTGGAGGGATTGGTGCCCTAGGAATAGGCACCTGACTCTCAGGATGCTGATTAGGCCCCTCTTAGGCATCAGTCAGCTATAGCATCTTGATGTTGAACCTGTCCCCAGATGATGGAGACTCAAGTGAGGAAACCTGCCTCTATGGGTACCCTGTGCGAGCCTTTTCTCTACAGAGCCAAAGCCCACACACCCTCTGGCTATCTTTCCAGGGGCTACCTGTCAGGCTCCAGGCATGTGCACTAGCTCTGGTGTGCTCTGGCCTCCTCTCTCCTTCTGGATGCTTCTAAGCTGGCTTCCTTTCTCATGGATCCACTCTCAAGTAGTTTGGGAATGTATCCCTGGTAGGCAGGGGATGACTAGAAAACACTCCCAAACAGGGGAGCAATATGTGATACCCGTTAATAAAACCCATGGGAGAAAAAGTATTACCTTCAGAATGATTTCTGACATTTTCTTAGGGATTGTATTTTGTTTGATATTTATTTATTTATTTATTTATTTATTTATTTATTTATTTATTTATTTGAAGTATAATCAACACACAGTATCCTATTAGTTTTAGATTATTAGTGATTCAGTATTTTTATACATTACAGAATGATCCCCACGATAAGTCTAGTCCCCATCTATCACCATACAAAGTCATTACAATATCATTGACTATATTCCCTATGCTGTACATCACATCCTATTGACTTAATTATTTTATAACTGGAAGTTTGTGCCTCTTGATCCCTTTTTCTACCTGTCCCCCAGCCCTGCCCCAGCTGGTGGCCACTAGCTTATTTCCTGCATCTGTTTTGTTTGTTTTGTTTTGTTTTGTTTTTTTTTTTTTTTTTAGATTCCACTACATTCCTTGAAATTATCTGAAAACCCAGGTTCTATTTATTTCCAGTGTTAAAGCACTGAAGGGCCATTTCAGCATAAAAAAATGAGCATTTAAAAATGATTCATGAGTATCAAAGCTCGGACAGCAGAGCTCAAGGAAATGGAAACATCCCTTGACATGGCAAAACTCTGTCCTTCCCTTCAACGAGCATCTGTGAAGTGCCTCAGTGGGCCGGGCCGGGACAGGGCAGGAAACGGGAACAGTCTCTGCCTTCGGGGAGCGTCAGTACTCCCTCAAAAGTTGGATCAGGATGCTATTTCTTAAACAATTTCTTAAGAACCCCATGAAATTTGGGATGCCTCTTGGTTGGTTAAGTGTCCGACTCTTGTTTCCAGCTCAGGTCACGATCTCGGGGTGGGACCGAGCCCTGCGTCAGGCTCTGCACTGGGTGGGAAGTCTGCTTGAGATTCTCTCTCACCCTCTATCTCTCCCTGTGCTTGTGTTCTCCTTCTCTCAAATAAATAAATAAAATCTTAAAAAAAAAAGGATCCCCATGAATTTTAAAACTTAAAAAATTCACATAATCTCAGAGGTGACCATGGCGTACATCCTTTGCCGTACATCTCTGCAGGCTAGGAGGCTGCATTTTTTTTAAGATTTTATTTATTAATTCATGAGATACACACAGAGAGAGGAAGTGATGCATAGGCAGAGGGATAAGCAGGCTCCCCTCAGGAGCCTGCTTAGCCCCGATGTGGGACTCGATCCCGGTACCAGGATCAGGCCCTGAGCCAAAGGCAGATGCTCAACTGCTGAGTCCCCCAGGTGTCCCTACATTTCATGCAGGACTGCAGAGCGGCCCCAGCACTTCAAAGGGGGAGGAGGTGCGGTGGGCAGAGAGGGGTGCCTTTCCTAGGCTGGGGCCGTGGACTTCTGTGGTGACCTGTGCTCTGCTCTGGGAAGCCCTTCACATGCAGTACAACAGCACTAGGGCACACCTCACCTGTCAGCTGTTAGATCTTTGTCCTTCTTCCCTCTTTTCCCTTTTTTGCCTTTCTTCCCTTTCTTTTTCTGGAAAAAAATGGAAACAGTCAACAATTTAGTAAAAACAAGTGAGCAAATTAGCTCTAGATACTAGGGAGGACAGCTGGTTTTGTTAGTGGTGGCAGGGAATGGGATGGGAACATCCTCTGTGGCACACTGGACGTGCGGTTGCCACATTTTCCTGGACGGAAGGCTTGGCCTGGGAAACTGCAGGTTGCTTATGTGGGCACATCCCTGGGTGGGTAGATGATGAGGTCACCACTGCGAAGCCTGCACAAGGCCTGATTCCCAACAGGTTCTGAGCATTCTGGCTCTTCCTGTGGGCTCTCACCTACAAAGGATGAGAGCACCGCGTGCCCAGGCTATCAAGTTGTGCTGGTCTTTGACATCCAATCTCGTGCCCTGTTAGCCTCGGCCCCAGATCTGCATCCCAGGGGGCTCTGCATTCTGATCACTGGGATAGCCGGAGGGAAGTGCTTGGAATATGATTGTTCAAAACAGTGCTGGTTGCTTCACTACTCTGTTTAAATCACCCATTGGTACCTGCCCATCGCCCATGGGATGAAGTTAAATTTCACCACCATGGTGGATGCAAGTCTTCCAGCTTGGCTCCCTTCCTTTACTGGCTCATATTCTTTCTCAGGCCTCTGCCCAAGCTCCCCTGTCATGCAGACTGACCGTCGGGCACTTTCTTACTATCCCAGCATCTTTCATTCCTCCACGTCCATGTCCATATTCATTCATTATTTTTATTGCAGTATAATTTATGCACCGTGAATATACTCGTGTGCAGGCTGACTGACTTTTGCATTTATTTTTTTACATATAACCATATAAACGCTGCCTGAATCAACATCTAGAATGTCTTCTCACCTTCCCTGGAAAGGAGCATGAGAGAGAGACTGTGGGTAGACTTCACTGTGGATTCAGACTGCTTGTTGCGGTCCACGGAATTGTACAATATAAACTCCCTATGGCTTCTTTCAGCCAATATCATGTTCTTAAGATTCACTTAATGTGGTTGCACATAGCTGTACTTCATGATTTTCAGGTGTTTACACGTTAAATTTTTTATTTTGAGACTATGGTAGGTTCACACGCAATCATAAGAAATAATACAGAGATCCTGAGTACCATCTACCAGGTTTCTCTCAAAAGTAACATCTTACAGAACTATCTGAACCAAAAGTCACAAACAAGACACTGGTATTGACAATGGAATAGTCAAGATACAGAACATTTCCATTTCCACCAGGACCCCTCAGGGGGCCCTTTCCAGACCCACTCCCTTCCCTCTCATGAGCACCTCATCTTTAACCCCCAGAAACTATGAATCTCTCCTCCATTTCCATAATTTTGTCCTTTTGAGAATGTTGTGTCAACAAAACCACAGAGTACATATCTTTTTGCTTTTCACTTGTTATAATTCTCAGGAAATCTGGCCAGGTCATTCTATATATCAATAGCTGTTCTTTTTTATTGCTGTTTTCAGTTTTGAAGTATTGTGAATGAAGGTGTGTGTGTGTGTGTGTGTGTGTGTGTGTGTGTCTTTGTTTCTCTGGGATAAATGCCCATGAGTGCAATTGCTTGGTTGTATAGTACTTGCACATCTGGTTTGCAAAGAAAGTGCCAAACTGCTTTTCAGAGTGCCAATACCATTTCACATTCCCACCAGTAATGTATGAGTGATCTCGTTTCTTCCCATCTTCTCCAGCAATTGGTGATGCCATCCTAATGGGAGTGTGGTGACCTCTCATTGTGATTTTAATTTGCATTTCCCTCATGGCTAATGGCATCTTTTCCCATGCTCTCTTGCCCTCTCTACAGCCACACCAGTGCCATACCTCCTTGTGTATTTTGCCCATTTTCTAATCAATTGCATTTTAATTGTTGTGTTGTGAGAGTTCTTTGTATGCCCTAGGTACTAGCTCTTCCTCAGATATGTGGTTTGCAAATATTTTCTCCTAGTCTTTAGTTTGTCTTCTCATGTTCTCCTTAGAATCTTACATGGAGGAAAAGTTTCTAATTTTGATCAAGTCTAAATTTGCCTTTTATGAATTCTGCTTTTGCTATTTATTCTAAGAACTCTGTCTAGCCTTAGATCCCAAGGATGTTCTCCTATATTTTAGTAACAGTTTTATAGTTGTAAATTTTCCATTCAAGTGCATTTGAGTTTGAGCTCATTTTTGTACAATGTATGAGACTTAGGTAAAGGTTCATTTTTTTCTGTCTGTGGTTATCTAATTGTTTCAGCATCATGTATTGTAAGGGTTATTCTTCCTTAAATTTTTGTACCTTTGTCAAAAATCAGTCAGGAATATTCATGTGGACTCACTTCTGGTTGTGCATTCTGTTCTGTTGATCTGTGTATCTATCCCTCTACCAATAGTTTAGTTTAATTCTATCATCTTCATATTTATTTTTATTTATTTATTTTATTTTTTTAAAAATTTATTTATTTATTCATGAGAGATGCACACACACACACACACACACACACAGAGAGAGAGAGAGAGAGAGGCAGAGACATAGGCAGAGAGAGAAGCAGGCTCCATGCAGGGAGCTCGGTGTGCGACTTGATCCCGGTTCTCCAGGATCATGCCCTGGGCCAAAGGCAGGTGCTAAACCGTTGAGCCATCCAGGGATCCCTCCAATATTTGTTTTTTAATTGTGTAATCTGTTCCTTTTCCTTTTCCTTTCCTGTAGTCTTCCTAATCAATCAGGTATTTTTTATTTTCCCATGTTATCTTCACTATTACTTCTTGTTATACATTTTAGTATCATTTAAAGAATTACAAAATATGGGATCCCTGGGTGGCACAGTGTTTTGGCGCCTGCCTTTGGCCCAGGGCGCGATCCTGGAGACCCTGGATTGAATCCCACGTCGGGCTCCCGGTGCATGGAGCCTGCTTCTCCCTCTGCCTATGTCTCTGCCTCTCTCTCTCTCTCTCTGTGACTATCATAAATAAATAAAAAAAATTAAAAAAAAAAAGAATTACAAAATATAATACTAACTTATTACAATTTACCTTGAACTAGCACTTTATGGTGCCTGAACAGCACAATAACCTTACAAGTCCATTTACCCCTACCTACCTTATCAGTTGCTGTTGTCATATATTTTATTTCTACATGTTATATAAATACCTAAGACTTTGTTATTATTCTTGCCTTAAAAAACAGAATATTCTAAAAGTAGTGTTTTATATTTTCAAAAGCTGATCATTCCTTCTTACACTTCATTGTTTCCATTTGGGATCAGCTTCCTTTAGCCTGAAAAATATTCTTTTAGTATTTTCATATTGTGGATCTGCTGCTGATAAGTTCTCTAAGATTTTGTTTATCCAGGAACATCTCTATTTCATTACATTTTTGAAGGATGTTTTCACTGGGTCCAGAGTTCTAGGTTGGCAGTTAATTCTTTCCAATCTCTAAAATGCCATTTGTTGCCTCCTGGCTCCATAGTTCCTGTTGAGAAAGTCAGCAGTCATTCTTATTCTTATTTTTGTTTCCTTGAAGGAAATGTGTCTTAAAAGAAAAAAAAAACAAACCTATTAAGATTTTGCCTTTTATCTTCAACTTTTCAGCATTTTGACCATGATGTGCTGAGATGTAGTTTTCTTTGTGTTTGTTCTACTCAGACCTCTTTGACCTCATTGAGGCTCCTGAATTTGTGGCTTCATGTCTTCCATCAGATTGGGAAAATTCATGGGCATTTCTTTTTCATATACTGCTTCTTTCCCATTCTCCTGCTTTTTTGGTGGTGGTGGGGGGATTCCAATTACACATACAGTACAACTACTGACTATGTCTCAAATTTATTTATTCTCTGTTCTGTTCTTTACATTCTTGTTCTTTCAGCGCTTCCATTTAGATTTCCTATTGGCTGGTCTTTAAGCTCAATCTGTCTTCTGCTATGCCCATGCTGTTGTTTAACCAGTTCAAGGAGTTCTTAATTTCTGCTTCTGCAATTTTCAGTTGTAGAATGTTCATTTGTTTCTTTTCAAAGTAGATTTTCAATTTATTTTTAAATAAGGCATTCCTCCCTCTCCCATTTATATATGCTAGCTCTCTGGCAAATGCAAAAAATAGCCAAAGATTTTACCCTCAAGGAGCTTCTTAGCTTCTCCAGGAACTCCTATATTCTTAAAACTTCCATGATTACAACAGGAGGAGAACTCAGGAAAGGAGTGCCTCTGAGAGGCAGGACCTCACCCAGTGATGTCATCATGAGGATGACAGCACATCCAGAGTGATCCAATCTTGCAGATCTGGAAACTTGCTCTTGCCAGTACAGATGCTTTGTCTGTCTTGTTCTCTTCTCTACTCTGAATGACTTGAAATATACCTGGCATATAGTACTCAATAAATGCTATTGAATGAAAAAAATTAATAAAGATAATCTGTTCCCCAAGCCTAATTTTGGATCTACAAATAACAGGAGAAAGTGGAAAGTGGAATAATCTAAGTTGGTGAATTTAGAATCAGATATACAATTGCCAAGAGAAACAGACCATGTAGACTCGTATCTTATAGAAAAATCATCAGGAAACTATAATAATTTATCAGAACGTTGCTTGGTGAATATGGATTCAGAAAGGAGGTGGCTGGATGCTGTGAACTGCTGGACAATTGATGCTATACTGTGACATCTTGAGGCACATATTTAGCTTATAGGGATCAATCTGCATGGGATCTCAATTTGACTAATTTATTTGATAATATGTACTGAGGACTTGTTTTGTGCCAGAAAGAGTTACAATGGTGAGCAAGCAAAAAAGACAGTAATACAGTTCCTGTAGTCATAGTCCTTCAGTAGATTCAGGAAGGCAGATACCAACAAAATGATCTCACTAATAAATATAACATTAAAACTGTGATAAAGCACCTGGAAGACCTAGTATACAGTGCTATATGTATGCAGAGAAAGCAGACCTACTATGGATGGCCCAGAAGGCTTTCCTGAGGAAAGAAGGCTTGGACTGAGATTTAAGGGATTAATAGGAGTTAGCTAGGTTAGGGACTGGGGGCATGGGAGCAAAGATAGTTCTTGAAAGAGAACAACATGTGCAAAGGCCCTGTGGTAGGAAGGAGTGCAGTGGGTTTGAGGGACAAAGAGGAAGTTCAGGGTGCTGAAGCACAGGTGAGAAGGGAGAGTGGGTGAAGAGCTTGGGGAAGTGGACATTGGCCAGGTTGGACAGAAAGCCTGGCTGAAGATTGTCATCTCTATTCTTAGAGGATTAAGATGCCATTGAAGGGTTTCAGCATGTAGTGATAAGAATAGGTTTGTATTTTGAAAGGAAGGTTCAGGTTGCGGATAGTCTCTGATCAAGTAATTTTATCTGGGTGCTGACAGATTAATACTGCCTGATTCTATTCCTCTGAATCCCTTTTCTTCTTCTTTCTATGTTCAGGGTTGACTATTTCCTTTATGCTAATGGTCTTCCTGAGGATGAGACTTGGTATAGTTAATTGTTTCAGCTTTGAAATTAAAACCACATCCAACATATGTGTCCAAAGTTTACACCTAAGTCATTGGATTGGAATTTGGGGCACTCCATAGTTACACAGTTACCATCAATTTATTGGGATACCCTGAGCACACCATTGAATGTTAAGCCAGCTTAATTCCAAGAGGAAAATTCACAGCAACCCCTCCCTGTGACATATGATGAACCATGACATGGAAAGGGCAGATACCAGACTACAAGGAATGGAGGAGGCAGTCATGCAGGAGGGTGAGGAAGCCAATTCTTATCTTGGGCCTGGACAATGATACGTGTTGGGTAAAAGGAAAAAGCCTATTTTCAGCCAGAGAAAGTACAGCTACTTCCTCTCTGCATTTCCCATTTTGTTTGGCTTGAATTCCATGTTCAATCATCAAAACATCACTTTTTCATGCAGATAAGACCTATTGGTGAGAGAATAACCTACAGACGACCCTCATCAGGCTTCAGTGATGTGTCCTCAATGAGGACTTTGAAGGACATTCAGGTGTCAAACTGGTAAGTCAGAGTTAAACTGTGAAAGTGTAAACTGTAAAGCCAATACAAAACAGATCAGGATGGCGCCATGCTAAAGGGACTGGCTGAACTAGACACTCATGTAGCTGGATGTGTGAAAAACTCTAAGAGATTATGTGAACCACAAGAAGGTTTGATCAGCCATGGGACCTTGAGAAAACCATCAAAGGGGCAAAGGTTGCCTTATGCACCTGCTGACCCTGCCAGGGAAGGAAAGTCTGGCCTCTTCCTGGATGATTCTGGCCCCAATGGCAGGGCTAGCTCTGGAATGAAAGTGGAAGTAGGGGTCTAGGTTAGGAAAAAACCAGTTCTTTCCTCCTGTGTGTGTCCTTTGCTCCCACATGAATACCACATACACAACACTTCTGTCACCAGGTATGTGTGTGCGTGGGGGGTTCCCCCACCAAGAAATACCAGCTGAGAGTCCTACAATTTGACTCAATTCTGACACTATCTACTTAGAAATAGCATCGGATCCCATAGGTTGGGGGCTCAGTCCCACATGACTGCTCCCTTACCCCCACATCAGACACCAAACACAAGTCCCTGGTTAAAAATTTGGTTAAAACTCTTAGGTTCCCACAACCATTTCTTTGAGTTAATTTGTTTCTTACAGTGGTTCACAGAACTGAGGGAAACACTTCACACTTACCAGTTTATTAAAGGATGTGATAAAGGGTAACAACTGATGGCCAGACCTTAGGATAAGGTCTGGGAGGGTCCTCTGTTCCTGCGGAGTCAGGCTGTGCCACCTTCTTGATACATCCAAGTGTTCACCCTCCTGACATTACTGGGATTTCATGGAGGCTTCCTCACACAGGCACGATCAATTATTAGCTGCCTTCCCAGCCCTTCTCCCCTCTCTGGAGGGTTGGGGGTGGGGTTGGAAATTCGAAGCTTTTAATCATGCCTTGGTCTACCTGGTGACCGGCCCCCAGACAGGAGGCATCTGGGAGCCCACCCAGAGTTGTCTCATTAGAACACATATGCTCCAAGTACTCTCATGACTTAGGGATTTACAAGGGTTTCAGGAGCTCTGTGCCAGGAACCGGAGGCAGGGACCTATATATATCTTCTATTACCTCACAGGGCTTTAGTAAATGAACTTTGAACATCAGGATTTACATGGCTACCCCAAGACACCCTGAGATGGATTGGTGGCAATCTAAATTCAATTTGTCTGATTCCTCTACTCACAAAGAACTTGCTTATTGCCACTGGCCTCCTCTACAGATCTACCTACAGGACAAGAGAGGAGGCATTCTGGGTACATTACTGGCTCCCCTCATTGTCCTCATCCTTCATGTGGGGTTTGGGTAATGCAAATCTGCAGTGAGCAGTTTACTCTCAGACTGGTGAATGTATTGCATTTACGAGGTCATGTCCCTGAAGGCTAAATGGTGGAACAAGGCCAATCCATCTGAGTGTGCCAGGCAGCACCCAGGACTCAACTCTGGGGCTTGGGCAGCATTCCTGCTCATGATTCAAATCTGCATCTACCTCATCCCTCCCATGCTGGCTTGCTACTCACCTTTTTACCTTTCTTCTTTCCCACTTTGACCGGATACTCCTTTTCTCTGTTCACAGCCAGTTTTAAGTTTTTGAGCTCCTGTCGCATTAGCTCATCCACCTAGGAGAGTACAAAACACACCACTTATGAGTGACTTTGTGTGCCTTGTGTTTGTGAAGTTTAAAAATAGCTTAGAATCTAGGCCGATCATTGATGGGAAATCGTGAAGAAGCCCAATGGCTGCCACTGATGACTTGTCTTCGCGCAAATCTAAGTGCGGTGTTACCTGCACTCTGATCTCCGACTCTAGTTCCTTTCGCTTCTCCTGTTTGATCAGTTCTGGGTCATAGTCCTGCGGGAAATTCCACGACTCGTCTCTATTCTTCCACATGTCTGTGGTCCAGAAGGATTGAGAAAAAGAAAATGAATTTTTTTTTTCAACATGAAGACGAACGAAAATAGTTATTGCAATGTAAAGCATTGCGTGGAATACAAGGTTGGATAAAATAATCAAGAGTTTATTGATGGCAGAGTGATGGGACTCATGTGTTCTGTTCCCTCAACTTCCCAAATGGGAAAAATGTGCTTGCATAATAACCTAAAAAATAAAGAATAAAACTGCTAATGTGAAAACATAAAATAAAAAGTATGACACGAGTAGTATTCTTCTAATGATTATAACCATGTAAAAAATAATACATTAATTGTGGGATTATATAATTAGACAAATGTGGGATGACTATTTTTGTATTATGTTTTATATTACTTTCATTATTCAAACGATTCACTAAAATAGGAAAGATTTTACTGTTGGCTGAAGCCACCAGTGATTAGCCCCAGCCCCTTGTTAAAAGACAGAACTGAACATACAAGTACCCTTGACGTTCCCCTGACAGCTATATTTTTGAATTACTTTTTGGATGTGTTTGAAATCCTACATGTTTTCCATTTCCCTTTTTGCCTTGGCCTGGCAGTTAGGAGAATGGTTAGAGAAATGTGACCTTAGAGGAAATAAGGATAATTCTGTGTCGCTGGAATAAACGGAACTAAAGTTCATTTCTCAGAGGGGAATTCCAAATGCGTGCCAAGGTACAGATCAGCTGGATCCTGGCACTGGGACGTGGGGTGGTGTCCTGTGCAAAATGAGACTTGTCCATCTGGGAAATGAGAACTTTTCCCAGAATCTGTGTTCACAACGGGACGGGAAACTTGCCAGAACTTAACGTGCAACCACCACCCGGCTTGGCCACTTCCCTGGGAGCTCATCCTTAGGATAGGGATGCCCTTCAACTAGGGGAGGCAACTGAGGGCCATGGGGGCCGGGTAGCGGCTCCTCAACCCTCAACACCTGTCTGAGGCAGAGGCTAACACCTGGGAAGAAGGGTGCCACTGGGAGCAGGTGAACACGTGAATAGGCAGAGCTTTCTCAACCATGGCCTCCCGTATGGGCTCAGCAGGGGGATCCTGAGACCGGCCAGGGATGAATCCTGAGCTGCCTGAGAAGGGAGGGACAGTCACAGTCACCAACACATGTCTGGGAGCTGTGGAGAGCAAGGAGTGTCAACCGTGAAGACGGAGAGTGGAGAAGGTTCCTGGAGAGACGCCTTGGCAAACAGATGAGAAGGGAGGGCCAAATTGATCCCAGGGTCTGAGCTCAGCAAGATGGATCAGAGATGAAAGAAGGGACAAGATGTGCTGTGACCCAGGAAAAGCTGCACATCCTGGAAAAATGGACAGCACAGTAAGGAGATTCTGATGCACAACTCAAAGCTGGCCAATGGGCAGGTCTTTGGCCATCCGATGCCAGCCCATAGGACGCAGCCCGCGGTGGAGCCAGGGGAAACCCCGTTGTACTGCTTATGACTGTTGGTCTTATGGTCCTCTTCCTCCTTACTGACAATCCCCACTTCCTCAGGGGAGAGGGACTCTGCAGGACAGTTGTGCCCAGAGCAAACAGGTTTCTGTGCCCAGAGCACAGAAGTGGAAGCAAAGTGGAAGCGATGGATGCCTGAGGGCCAGTGACTGTCGTCTCAAGGTGATTAGTCAGGATCCTGTGGACAGGAAAACTATAAGAAGATGGGATGTGGAAATGCAGCTCCAGTTCTCCAAAAGTGTGGGAGCCCCAGGCTGAAGAGCCTACAATGCTCCTGGTGGTTGGCATGGAAATCTCCAGAGTTGGGAATGGTCACAAGGTGTTGCCACACACAGTCAGACAGGCCCACCTCACCCGCTATGGGATGGGATGTTGGCCAGAATAGAGTGTCTGGAATCCAGGTCCAGCGAGGGCTCTCAGCCTTCCCCGGCTTCACACCGGAGAGCTGAGGGGGTGTGGCTGGGCAGGGCTGTGCCAGGGGCCGGCTAGCCAGGGTCTCTGCTATGGTCACAGTCTATGGTGATGCAAATCTTGGGGGACAGATTTTGGAAAACGAGGATGATCAAAGGACGCCAGTTTCTCTTGGGGTGGCCACTGTAGACTTATAAGAAATAGACAGGAAACAAGTCACAAACATGGTACAATTTTCATACCCAATTCACCCATGTGTCTTTCCCCATTGGGGTAGCCACGTGACAGGTGACCCTGCCCCTGCGGCAGAGATGATGGCCACGGATGATGGGGCTGGGAGTAGATGTGGCACCTCTGGTCTCTCTTGCTGACCTCTCCTGGGTGCCTGCCTGTCGGAGATGACCCTAGAGGTGAGGATGTCATCACCTGGGCGGGGCAGGTGATCAGACTGAAGAAGGCCACTCGTGGCAGGAGTGGGCACACAGGAAATTGCCGGAAAGCTGGGACCTGAATTTTTATTATTTTAAATGATCACTCCCATGACTGAGTGCCAGCCAGAGAGGCCTATCCTGTGTTTTACAGTCAGGGAATGAAAACTAGGCATCGCACAAATTGTCTATACCAGCCCACTGACATAAAACACGTGTTAAGTCATTATTTGAAAGTTTATCTTGGCCCCGAACCACCCCCCCTTGGCAGGTGGATTTTGCGGTCGGTCTGTAAGGTGCGTGTACACCCAAGGAAGAGCGAATTTGCACTTCCCTCATTTGAGGGTAATTGTTCTTTCTCAGTTCATTTGCTGAAAAGCACATGAGCTTAAATTGTGGAAAACTTTAACATGTATAAATAATGCTTTTCCGTATGTGTTTGAAACTGTAAACTCTCTCCCTTGAAAATACTACGGAGTGCTTAAATGTCTTTAAAAGGTGCCATTTACTGATCACACTTGTCTAGCAGGCTTCCCCCTTGCAAGGATCATTCTATCTCCAACAGCAAAACTCACCTGTTTTTATTAAGATATTTTAAAGCAAAAAATATCCTTTGCTGTTGCAAGGGAGCTCCTTTGCTTTTTCACCAGACAGACTTACTAAAATCTGGAAACAGTGCATTTCCTAAAGAAAGGGACACGGAATATTTAACAGAAAGGAACACGAGGCGATTATTTATGTAAAAGCAATGGCACCTCGTAACACATTCTCATTCTGGAGTTGTAACTGTGTCCCGCGAATAAAGCAGTGCTTGGTGGCCTTTGCTGATTTTCCCTCTCCCGCCATTTGAATGGTCTTGGTTTTGCGAGGAAACTTTGCTTTTCTCATGACACTTTTGCACAGGGCACCTCTCAATCCCTTCAAGAATTTCATGGACATTTACAAATTCAGGAAGCTTTTCAGGGCCCTCAAAGCACAACAACTGCCCCACAAGCTTTCATCCCGAGAATGTGAAAAGCAGGCTGGGGCAGTTTCTCACGTGGGGGGGGGGCAGTGATTAAAATGCTAATGTTTTATTTGAAAAGGAAAACCTTGGATTTTTGAGGAAAAAAAATGCTAAGATGAAGACATTTAATTTCTTTAAATTACCAGAAACCTGGCAAGATAACACAGGAAACGCTACAAATCCAGCTAGGGAAATGGCACTTCACGATTTCTGCTCCCAAATGACCACTGCTTGTTTTTTTTTTTTTTTTTTTTAGGCTTTATGGAAACAGATATTATACAAACAGCGTAATGGAAACATATTACACAGACGGTGTGGAAAGTCTCAAGAGCTTTCCTGAGTGGGTCAGCAGGTTGCAAGACTCGGCTTCCCACGGGAACATTAGATTTCCCCAAGTTAGTTTTTGTTTTTACCAAAATAATACATGCACATTGTTTTAGACAAAGTTGGAGAATATGGAAAGGATTATAACATAATTGTCTAACTCTGCCTTGCAGTGAAATTGCCCAATGGCATTCATTCCTGTATTCATTCATTCATTTAAAATTGCATACAGGGACGCCTGGGTGGCTCAGCGGTTGAGCGTCTGTCTTTGACTCAGGGTGTGATCCTGGGGTCCTGGGATCGAGTCCCGCATCAGGGTCCCTGCATGGAGCCTGCTTCTCCCTCTGCCTGTGTCTCTGCTTCTCTCTGTGTGTCTCTCATGAATAAATAAATAAAAATCTTAAAATAAAATTTCATGGAATGGTTTCAGAGTTATCTGCAAATCTGATTCATTCATAAGTTACTTAGTTCATGACTTGACTGAGCCTGATTATGGGGCAGGTGCTGCTATCAGATTGGGCAGACAGTGCGAGGCGCTGCCTTCTGGGACCTGGCAATCCCCGGCAATCCCTTGGGAACACCCACATCCCCGGCAGATTGAGGTAAGTAAAACAGGGTGGGCACAGAGTGAGGCTGGAGACTGTGAGCCCACAAGGGTCTCAGGGAAGGCCTGCAGGCACCAGCACTCCAGGCAGGGGGAACAGCCAGCACCAGGTCCCTGAGGTGAGAGTGCCTGGCTCGCTGGTGGAACAGGACACTCATGGGAGTGGGTGTGAAGCCGTCTAGCTTCCTGAGCACTCCTCGAGCTGCTTGTCTCTTGTTCCATGTTCGTCATGTGGCCATACTGCCACTTCTGGATTTATGAGTTTGAGATGTGAGCACCTGACTCCCTGTTATGGCAGAGGAGGGCTTTTCCTGTCTTTCCCCATATTCTCTCCTGATAGTAATTTCAGAGAAGAGAGCCAGGCCTTCCAAATGCCGAAGGAAACTATGACCTGAGTATAAGCCTGAGACCATATTTAAGTGTGTTGGTGTCTAGAGCTCCCCTGCGGTAGCTCTTTCTCAGGACACCTTGGGGGAGGACAGGCTCCACCAAAATGAAGGAGTGACAATCAGGAAGGATGAAGGAAGGCCCAGGGATGATAGGTGATAGGGCTCCAGGAGGGAGGACTTCAACAGAACATGAGCTGGCAAATGACCTGATGGGTTTGAAGGTGCAAACCTGGGAGGCTGGTGATAGACCTGTAGAATATGAAGCCATGCGGTGGCCGTAAAGACCAAAAGAAATGTGGCAGAAAGCAGGTCTGAATAAGGGGCCCTTCTTGTTGCAGACATACTTGAGTTCTAGTAGCATCCATGGCATGCCCATGACCCTACAGTGTGATGCATGTGGTTCCTAGCTGGACCTTGGATGTTGCTGCCTGCCTACTTTGCAAAAGCACTCAACTTATGCCACTGTCCCCACGCCATCCACCTCCACCACGCCCAGTGTGTTGTAAGCATGTTGATGGCACGTGCCACCTTCGTATCTCCACAGTAGCCTTGCACCTGGCATGCTGGACACAATGGTGGTTGAATGAATACACCAGTGAATGAGTGTGTCTGACAGTGATTGCTCCGCACTGTGGTTTGCAGTGATTCGAAGGGGCACCTGCACCCCAGTGTTTATAGCAGCAACGTCCACAAGAGCCAAACTATGGAAAGAGCCCGATGTCCATCGGCAGATGACTGGATAAAGAAGATGTAGTCTATATCTCTATCTATCTATCTATCTATCTATCTATCTATCTATCTATCATGGAATATTACTCAGCCATCAGAAAGGATGACATCTTCCCATTTACAACAATGTGAGTAAAACTAGATAGTATTATGCTAAGTGGAATAGTCAGAGAAAGACAAATGCCATATGGCTTCACATACGTGGAGTTTAAGAAGCAAAACACATGAACACAGGGGGAGGGAAGGAAAAATAAAATAAGATAAAAGCAGAGAGGGAGACAAACCGTAAGAGCCTCTTAACCCTAGGGAACAAAGGGAGGGTCGCTGGAGGGGAGGTGGGTGGGGGGATGGAGTCACTGGGGGAACGGGCACCAAGGAGGGCTCGGGATGGGATGAGCACTGGAGGTCGTAAGCAACTGATGAATCGCTGAACTCTACCTCTGAAATTAATAATACACGATATGTTAACTAACTTGGAATTTAAATAAAATGTTAAAAAAAATACTCTACCAGCACCTGCCATAGGGGGATAGTTTTGTTACTCACCCCCCCCCCCAGCACAGTTGTCCTGAAGATCAAACGAGGTGAGCATGAGAAATACAAAGGCTTGTGTGTCTTGGGCATCTAACAACAGGAGGTCACTGCTTTGACCTTCCCCCCAGCTACAGCGGTTGCCAAATCCTGCGGGGTCACCTACCCCCTGGGCTTCCACCCGAGCTCAGCACTGCATGCAGGGTGGGACGCTTGCCACTAGTGTCTGGTCAAAGCATTTTCGGTGGCACGTGGACATTTTCATTTTATACAGCGAGCATCTCAGACCTGAAATGACGCTGATACTGCTGCTTAGGGTGAGGCTCAATTCATTAGGGTAAAAACCATGAGTCAATGAAAAAATATGCCTGCTGCCCAGATAAGACCAGGATTAGGAAGGAAGGATACGCAAGGCGGACTCCACGTCCTAATCACATATTTTAGGGATTACCGAAGAGTACTGATAACCAGGGTCATCGTGGCAGGTCATTCTGTGTTGGGATGACGTGGACAATTGTTCCAGTAAATTGTAATAGAAATGCCCGAAAGACCAATGCCTACACCTGCAGCTCTACTCAGATGATAGCCACGGTGCTAATTATGCTGAACAACGGACAGAAGAATCATGTGTGGGTTTTCAGGCACCTGTCTTGGTCTGACAGGATTAAAACATTTCATTGTCCATAAGGCATTGATTTATTAATTTAAACAATCCGGGACAATCCCTTTCATTCCCAGCAAGAGAATGTTCAGCTGAGGTCCTAGGGGTTCAAAAACAGAATGGAGGTTTAGATCACGTCCTCGTACTATTCATATCTGGCTTTTTTTTTTTTTTTTTTTTTTTTACTGATTCTGTGCCTTTCGGCGGCTCAAAGGAATTTTAAAATAGAGACGGACAGAAGGTGCTGGCGATGAGCTGCACGTTTGCAGCCTCTCCTGGCTGAGCACTTAATTCTTCCCCGCACAGGCCGGGTGCTCGGGCCAGGGGTCACCCTGGGCGGATGGGTAACACATTGCCTTCCCATATTCTCCTGCACCAACCTTTGTACACGTTGTTTCCTTCCTCCATCATGGGAAGGAACACACTCGGTGACATTTTCCATCCCTCATCTTCTTCCTGTTGAGGAAAATGATATTTTTGTTGATTACAGGCCTACTTTGACCCGGATGCGACAGTTACGAGGCGCACACATCCTCATGCCCGGGCTGTGCCAAGGCACATGTGCTCTTTCCTGGCTTATGAGCAAAGGTCCAGCCCCTGGCCACCCACCCGGGCAGGTTCCCTGCTGGCCAGTCTGAGCAGGGAGCGTTGTGTCCACCATCCAGGGCGTGGATGGTTCTAGAAATTCAGCCCTGCCTGCAGGCTCACTGTGGCACCCCCGTTTCAGTTGCCTCTCCGGGGGTACCCCACACGCTGGGCTTGTCTGACCATCGGGTTCCTTCTTTGCTCTGGAAGCTGATCCCAGCCTGAGTCCTTGTAGGGACGTCAAGCTGGCTGGAATGTCAGAAGAGGCTGGAGGAGAGGACGTGTCTGCGATGATGGCCTCATTCCTGAGAAGAGCCTCTGGAAATCCGCAATGCGCGCATCTCCCTCTTTGTGAAGTGGTACAAAGTTTAGTTTGCAGACCCCCTAAGATGGTATGAGAACGTGGTTGGCTCAGTGGTCCAGCGTGGAGCGGCACCTCCGTGGGCCAGGCGGCGGGAGAGGAGGCGTGGGGGTCACGGAAAGGCTGGGTGGCGCTGCAGACAAACGGCACCTTTTACAGCTCGTGGTGCTGGATCTGGGTGCCAGGCTCTTGCCAGGATTTAGCACGACGTTAGGTGGACGTAGAGAAGACTTTAGGATTCACATGATCACGTGTTCCGGACAGAGACAATCCACCTAACATAGGCCCAAGTGGTTCAACACATGGCTTGAAAAACAACAAAGAGAAAAGAGGTGCAAGGATGGATCGCATGGGGCTCCTCTTCTGGCTCCTAAAGCGACTCAGACAAAGGCTGTGACTTTGATACCGAAAGCACATTTGCGGAAATGGCTCTTGGCTGGCAGAGAATGTCCTCCTGACGCTAGCTTTCTCCTCTAGCATATATATATATATTTTTAAATGATTTTGTTTATTTGTTTGATGGGGAGAGAGAGAGAGAGAGAGAGAGAGAACAAACAGGGGGAAGAGGCAGGGAGAAGGGAGAGGGAGAAGCAGGCTGATTCGGGGCTCGATCCCAGGACCCTGACTGAGATCATAACCTGAGCTGAAGGCAGACACTTAACTGAGCCACCCAGGCGCCCCTCTATCACATATTCTTTTTTAATTTAAATTCAATTTGCCAACATATAGTATAACACCCAGTGCTCATCCCATCAAGTGCCCTCCTCAGTGCCCATCACCCAGTCACCCCATCCCCTCACCCACCTCCCCTTCTGCAACCCTTTGTGTGTTTCTCAGAATTAGGGGTCTCCCATGGTTTGTCTCCTTCTCTAATTTTTCCCACTCAGTTTCCTCCTTTCCCTTATGGTCCTTTTCACTATTTCTTATATTCCCTGTATGAGTGAAACCATATAATATCCTTCTCCGATTGACTTACTTCACTCAGCATAATACCCTCCAGTTGCATCCACGTCGAAGCAAATGTGGGTATGCGTCTCTTCTGAGGGCTGAGAAATATCCCATTGTGTATATAGATCACATCTTTTTTGTCCAGTCATCTGTTGAAGGACATCGTGGCTCCTTCCAGTTTCGCTCTTGTGGACATTGCTGCTGTGAACATTGGGGTGCAGGTGTCCTGGTGTTTCACTACATCGGTATCTTTGGGGTAAATACCCAGCAGTGCAATTGCTGGGTTGTAGGGTAACCATCGCATATTCTTAACAGAGGATGTCCTTATCTTTTAGAGATGGTTTGCAAACCAAAGATCCAAAAGAAAGATGAATTTTTTTTTTACTGTTAAATTTCGAGAATTCTTCATATATTTTAGATGCAAGTCCTTTGTCACATCTATAGCTTGCAAACATTTTCTTTCAGTTTGTAGCTGGTCTTTTCATCCTCTTCCCAGAGTAAAAGGTTTATTTTTTTATTTTTTTATTTTTATTGTGATGAAGTCCAATTTGTCACTCTTTCCTTTTATGGATGCTTCTGGTGTCAAGTGTAAGAATTGTTTGCTGAGCCCTTGATCCTGAAGATGTTTTTCCCTAAAAGTTTTATAGTTTTACATGTAAGTACATGATCCATGGTGAGATAATTTTTATATAAGGTACAGGTAGATGTTCATTTTCTCATCTAGGGGATGAAATGATTAATTTTTGGAAGCTCATCTTTTTTTTTTTAAGATTTTAATTATTTATTCATGAGAGACACAGAGAGAGGCAGAGACACAGGCAGACGGAGAAGCACGCTCCACGCAGGGAGCCTGATGTGGGACTGAATCCCAAGACCCCGGGATCACGACCTGAGCTGAAGGCAGATGCTCAACCACTGAGCCACCCAGGTGTCCCTGGAAGCTCATCTTTGAAAGTGTTTAGGGTGTTTCTATGTTTTTCCTTTACTAGCTCTGGTGAGGTGAAAACACCTAGACCAATCTCTTTGCTTTTCTCCTTCAGCATCTCAGAATAGAGGTCTCCAGATGGATCCAGATACAAAATTGAAAACTTTCATGCTTTCAATGTTAAATTGTTTGCAAAATTTTTGATGAAATGGTCAAATGAATGTAAGATTACCAGCCACAGTTAATTAATTCGTTAATTAAGAGAGACAACATGAGTGCACGTGAGTAAGGGCGGGGAGGGAGGGAGAGAGGGAGGGAGGGAAGGAGAAAGAGAGAGAGAGAGAGAGAGAGAGAATGAGAATCACACCACTCAGTGCAGGGCCCGACATGAGGCTTGATCCCAAGACCCTGAGATCATGACCTGAGCTGAAATCAAGAGTCCAACGCTTAACCAACTGAGCCCCCCAGGTGCCCCCACAGTTATTTTATTTTAAAATGTTGTGCATGACTATGGAAATCCAAGCAGGGACTGCAAAACTTACAAGTTCTCACCCCTAAACTTCATCCCAGGCATCTCCAGGTTCAAACATCTCAAGACACCCAGGGGTACTCCCTGATCCTCAAAATCCTGAATAACAGACTGTCTAAGGGGGGCTCCTGCCCGCTGCACTAGGGTCAGGGGGAAAGGTGCTTTGGGCAGGTCACTCTAGCACACATTTATGCTGATAGAGGTGACCCCAGGCAAGGGTCGAGGGCTAGGAGAAGCAATCTTAAAAGGGTGACGGTGGGTCTTTGTGAGCCAGGGATGGGTGTTGGTGACTATGAGCCCAGATCTTCGCATCACCACTGGATGTACCTTTCCTTCTTCATTACTTTCAGAAAAAATCGAGGGAAACAGAACTCAGTTGCTTCGCTCTCCATCTTGTGAATGATGTTTGGCTTTCAATGTGTCCTCCCATGTGGAAGGATGCAGACTTCTGAGGCGCTCCGACCCCTGGCCCACACTTGTCCTTGGGTGAGTCCTGGGCTTGCACTGAGCCTGCCTCCTGTCTCATCGTGGTCACCGCCTGGACCTGTCTCCCTGCCTCGGTCACTTCCTCACCCACAGGCCATCCCAACCTTGGTCACAAACCACAGGCCTTAGACTACAACTCACACAACTCAGGTCTGCTCAAGTCACTACCCCAGGATGACTCTCGTCTTCTCTGGAAGGTTCTGCACAGCACTCATAGGCCCCATCCATGGCTGCTCCAAGCTTTCTTTCCCAGCCCCACACCACACACCCTCCCTAGCCTCTGTTATCCCTGCCCTGAAGTGGTCCTATGGTTCTCTGGCTCACCCATTGCCTGGAATCCTGCCTGGGGTCCCTGGTCTCCGTCCAGCTTTCTGATCCTCTCCCTGCCTGACCCTTGTCGATGCCCTGTCTTCGGCCACTTATGCTCACTTGCAGCCATCTTGTGGATTGATGAAGCTTGTACTTGGGTGATAGTTTGACAAGCGTCTATTTTCCATTTATGGAGGTGAGTGGAAATATTCAGAGAATCCTCAGTTTTTTGTTAATATGCGTCTTTCCCAAGTTTTCTGACCATATATGCACTGGCAATTGAGAAATGACCAAGTTTATAAAAATACCTGAAGGATAACCCCCCAGCTGTGCCACCATGTGAAACAGGGTTGGGGTTGGGTCAGTATCTATGCAAGCTAAACAAAACTAGTTTTCTGTCTCCCCTGCATTACCCTTTAACCAGGGTGAATAATAGATGACTTTTTCTTCTGGTCAAATACCAATTCTCATACAAGGATTTGAATAGCTCATCTCACGAATGCTTCTGGAGGCTTTGGGATTGATTCTAGAGTAAGACTTTAAAAAGTCAACAGAAAAGATGATCTGACCTCTAAGTAATGAGTAGCAACATAATGTGAAGATATCAATTTTCATTAGAGATTACCATTTGTTCTTTCATTGATTATGTTATCACCGCATAGACTTGTACTTTTCATGAATAAATTCAGTTCTAAGTAACGCTGAAGGATTTAATCCTTCATTTGCGACTACTTCATAAATGCTGATACACTCAAACTTTGCTTTTTGTCCCAAACTGTTCATCATTAAATGACTCTTTAATAGCTAGTTAATAAAATACCTTCACTCAACAAAGACCAGATTGTGTAGCTGATAATTTCAGATTTTTTTATGGAACAAGCTTCATTAACAGTGAATTTTTAATTAGCAAGTGTCAAACTCCCTAATGCATATTTAGCGGAAGAGAATGCTTAGAATAAAATTGAAATTCTTCCAATTGTCCTTATTCTTAGGCACTGCTTCAAAATTATCTTGCAAAGTGAGAGGAGGGCTTTAAAAATTAACCGTATCAGGTAAGCTCCCGTCTTATTTTTTTCTGCAACAAGTTAGAAGCATTGGGGCCAGCAGTACGGCAACAGGTGGCCTCATGGGCTGGATTCCCTGGAAATGCTCAGATGGAGGCTGTGCAGGTGGTTTACTGGGAACACCACCCACAGGGAAGAAGGGAGAGAAGCAGCACCGGACAGAGAAGTTGATGCAACTGAGCTGTGATGTGACTGGATGTGAGCTGTCAGCTGACCCCACTGGGAGCCCAGGACCTAGGAGAACCATTCAGAGACGTCCCACGAGGGGACTGGGTCTTTGTACCCAAACATGGCTATCCCTGGATGCAGTTCCCTGGGCAGGGTGCTGGGACTTTGCAGGGAGCAGCTCCTTTAGACCCGGAACAATTCCTGGGGAGGAATTAAGTGAGGGGTCAGCATGACACACTGGGTAGCTGGGGACTACAGTGGAGTGGGTTGTGTCCAGAGTGAGCAGTAAGAGGTCTCTCTTCTTTTGTTCACAGCAATGGTACATGGTTAAGGAAAGGGACAAAGACAGGTGAGGGAAGTTGGAAGATTTCTGCTTATCATGGTGCAGGAGGTGAGCCTTGCAAAAGGGGCAATTGCCTCCAGCTGGGTGCCTGCAATAGTGCAAGGGATTTTTTTTAAAAAGATTTTATGTATTTATTTTAGAGGTGGGTAGGGAGGAGCAGAGGGAGAGGGAGAAGCAGATTCCAGGCTGGGCACAGAGCCCGACTTGGGGCTCCATCCCAGGACCCTGAGATCATGACCCAGCCCATTATCAAGAGTCGGATGTTCAACCAACTGAGCCACCCTGGCGCCCCCATGCAAGAGATTTTTAGCAAAATGTTGGCTTTCATCACAAAATGTTGGCTTTCATAAAAGCAAAATGTTGCATTTCTGTGGAGTTTGGGTGTTGCCATTGTATATCCACCATCCTGCTTTCTCCCCTGCTCACAATTTCTGACTCCTTGGTCCAGTCGCTTGTCTTTGATGACACAGCCTGTCTCGTTTCTCTCCCGGACGCACCTCTTGGAACACGAGGAGTGTGACTGCCACGGCCTGAGCAAGAGATGGATCTCTGCCTCTGGACAGTCATACACGGACATACCCCTTAAGGATCCATTCTCTTGAGTCGATTTAGGTCAGAGTTCTGGTCAGCTGTGAAGGAAGATCCGTCTGTGCAGAAATGCCTCTTGAAACATGATCATGCTTTAGGGTGATGCGAGCTTCCAGCCTGAGCTCCATCTTCCATGGAGGAGTTTCTGCTGAGAGAACGCTGTCCGGGGAGCGCGCACCTGTCCACGAGCTTGGAGGTAAAGACTCCTCCAGTTCCTGCCCCGTGACAGCAGCACCTGGTAAACCCACCGCCTCATCCTCCCCCGACTGCACGAGGGGAGGCCTGGCCCAAAGTGACACTCTTTGAAATCTGATATCCTTTGGGTAGTAAGAAACAAAAACTTCCATTAAAATACATCCAATATGTCAACGAAAAGTGATAAACTTGAACAAACACATTTTGGTTAAAGTAGTTAAGATTATGTTGACTTTGTAGTGGTCACCTGGTTTGTGAGCATTTTTTCTGATCTCTACCCTTGAGGAAAGAAGAGGGGGTCATTTATTTTGAGGAATAAAAATTCAAAGCTATCCCATATGTGAATAAATGCATAAAGTATCGAAGTCACGAAAACCACCTTCATGCTAATAGGTATTTATTATAAGTCACAGAGAAGAGGATGACCAGTTATTGAGGAACATAAAAAAATATTGAATAACAGTTGGTAGAACGGTTTCCTAGGAAACAAATGACTGCAATCTCAGGAGATTTGAGGCGATGGCATTGATTGAAAGCAAGAAATCCACCTAAAAGAAAAAAATTTCTTTTAAAATTCCAAATCCCTTACCTTGTTTTTTTCCTTTGTCTCTTTCTTTTCCTTTTCTTTTTTAGGTTTCTTGGGTTTCTTTGCCTTCTTCTTCTTTTTCTTTTTGTTTTTCTCCTCCTCTTCTTGGGTTGCAATAATATCTTCAGTGACCTGGCAAGAAATACAAAATCAACTTCTCACTTTCATGGAGCCCTATCAAGATGAGGACTCCTTTTCTGTCTGGAGGACGCATTTGTGCTGACCTGTCCTTGCTCCCTCCCTGCCCTGCTCTGGGTCTGAGGCCGACCCTTCTGGGGACATCACCGCCTGCCACCTGCCTCTGGTTGGATTCAACAGTGAAGCCACAGTCAGATCTCGGGGTGGGGGCAGATGATGGGGAGGCTGAGGGAGGTTGGACATTTCTGAACCCAGCCCCCTCTACCCCCCAATTCAGACCTGCTCTGGTCCCCAGGGCTCTTATGAATGTAAACATGAGGGAGGTCGTGGCTTCCTCGGTGTCTCTGCCGCAGCCTGTGTGCCAGGCCTGCCCACACCTCTTCCCCAGATGAGCTGAGGACACCTTGTGATTCCTGCCTGGACTCTGCGTGACAGTTGATCTTACAGTAACTTTGCTTTCCCGTAAATGATCATGCATCTCTTCTCAGGGTTGCTTCCTTTCACCTGTGATTAAATCTGTATGTCCTGCAGTGACAAAATCCCACTTATGCTCCCCAAATTTTAAATATTTCTTAAGAAATGCCTGGTTCATATCGGATCAGCATCACTGGAGAATTAGTAAAACCATATAATGAAAACCATATAATGAAAAACCATACGATCTGTTCTGTACAAGGATGTTTGCTGAGCTCCCATTGGCTGTGGTGGGGAGCCACGACTTCTGGGAGATATGAGGGTGACGGTGATGGGACCCATTTCTTGTTAGACCCCGGGGCTCTGCCCATCACCGGTCATGTGACCAAGACAAGTAGCATAACATTTCTGGGTTCTAGTTTCCTAGTTTCATTTCCTAAAATCAAGTCAGTGCTTCCATCGATTGGACTTACAGTAAGCCCAGCACGGTACTAAAGATGAACTCATCTACTGCTAAATGCGGCCTATGGATGGGAGCTGTTACCAGCCCGTTTTATCGATAAGAGAAGGGGGCACAGAGACATCAGCCATGTGGCCCAGGACACAACTGGCCAGTGCTGAACTGGGATTCGAACAGGTGCTAGCCAGGATGACCTTCACAACGGAGAAAGAAAAGACGCAAGATGCGGAATGACACAGGTAAATTTATCCTATCGTACAAGATGCATAGAGTTAAATAGAAAAATTACCCTCTACGGTTTCAGGATACATATGTAGTCAAAGAACAAAGAAATATGAAGGAATGACAAACACCAAATTCAGTACAGTGGTAATCTCTGGAGAGCAGGGTATGCAATGAAACAAAAGGGCTAGTATCCTTTCACCTTTACTGCGTCGTACTAACCACCCTCCTGGGGTCAAGTCTACTTGTTACGGCTTATTAGTGATTTACTACCGCGCAGACGTTTATTTTCTAGTTTTACATTTTTTTATATTTATACCTATGTTGTTCTTAGGAGCTTAGTTCACACTTTAAAAAATATAAAAGATAGCTTTACTGTGAACAAGAGCAGGATATTCTGGTCCCATCTGGGCTTAAAAACAACACTCTAGTCATTAGTCATGTGTCTCCTTTCCACTGTCCAGAGGCCAACCCATTCCAAGGCTCCAGTGAAGCTCTCGGTGGGGTGAGGCACAGAGAGGGTGCTGGCGAGGGTAAGAGGTGACGTATGTGTTGCGCACATTATTTGGTAATAAAAAGCGTGTCTTTAGATGGAATTAAAAGTCCCTTGTTCAAGTGGCAGTGTTTTCCTTGGGAATCAAGCTCAGTTCAACTCAGAACCAAACTGGGGCTACTCAGGACTTTTATGTTTGGAGCATGTAGGGAGCATGAACATTTTTTTTTTTTTGCCTTTTGGATGTTTGGAAGCTTTCAGAAAAATGTACAGACGATTTTTAAAAAATGACCTGATGTATAAAATGTGAGCAGCTACACACACACAAAAAAGGAATCCTCATTTGTGGCACAATTCAGCATATCTTTTAAAGCCTTCTCCATTGTACTACTTATTTCCTCTATATCCTGACTTAGTTTACTAAGACTTTGATAAATATATTCACCTGATCCACAAATTCAAAACTTACAAAAGAGCGTGTCGTGAAATGTTCTGCTCCCATGCTGTGAGCCCACCAGCAAGATCTGCTTTCTAAAGCAGCCTCAATACCTTGGAGGTGCTTCCAGAGACATTTAATATAGTTATATGCAAATATATGTGTACACACATGCACACACTCTCCCACTCTCCGATGTGTTATGTTTGTCAATCACACACTTGAAGATAGTGTGTGGAGTTTGTCTCTCTTTTTTTTTTTAGGCCAGTGTTGAATTTGTTTTGCTCTTGATTTTCAACTCTAGCAAAATCTTCCAAAGCACACGAATATGTGCACATATATACATACAAATACATGATGTAACCATCGATTGGTCATTTTATACCCATGTCAGTGTATCGTACACATTGTCCTTGTTGTGTATTTTCCTCTTAACAATGTCCCTGGCCACTTGTCATAGCAGTACCTAAAGGGCTTCCTTGTTCTGTTTTTACGGGTGTCCCGTAGATTATCTGGCCATTCTCCTACCAGTGGAATTAGGTTGTTTCCAATCGTCTGCTGTTACTAATCATGCTGCACAAAGAAATGCATGCAGAAATCATTTTGCAGGTATGTGAGCATATCTGCAGGATAAATTCCTAAGAGGAGAACTGCTGGACCAAGGGTATGTGCAGCTGTAATACTGTCAAACTGCCTCCACTGGGCTGTGCCAGTTTACACTTTCACCAGCCATGCAGGCGAGTGCTTGTTTCCCCATATGCTCTGACACAGGGTGACACAGTGTGTGATGTTTGCCAACGGAACGGCTGAAGAAATGGTATGTCACTGTGGTTGTTTTAGTTCTTTTTCTTTTTTTAGATGCCAGTGCTGAATTTACTTTGCTCATGCTCTTCAGCTATAGCAAAACCGCCCAAAGTGAGAAGTGCACTATATTGCCCTATTAAACCAGCCACCATATTTTCAGTAAACTGTGGGGGCTGAAGGCCAAATCCGGCCCACCACATCTCTTCTTTTATAATGATTTATTATAATTTTATTGTGGCATATTTTACATTTTATACATTCAACCCATTCCAAGAGTACGATTCAATCATTTTTAGTACATTTTCTGCATTGCGCAACCATCACCATATATCAGTTTTAGAACATTCCCAGCACCCCAGTGTGACCCGTCGTGTCCACTATCTGTCCCTTTCCTCATCCTTCACGCCTGGCCAGGCCACGGCTAATCTCCTCCCTCCCTCTATTCGCTTTGTCTGGACGTTTCCTGTAAATGGAATCATATAATGTGTGGTCTCTCATGTTTGATTCCTTTCCCTTTGCATCATGGTTTGAGTCTACCCACGTTGTAGCGTATCTCAATTGGTGTTTCCTTTTTTATTGCCAAATAATATTCCATTGTCTAGATGCACCATATCTGCCTATCCAGTGACTGGTTGATGGATGGATATTTATTCTGTTCCAATTTTTTGGCTATTACGAGTAATGCTCCTATATTCGTGTACAAACTCTTTTGGGTGGACATGTTTTCACTTCTCTTGGATAGAGACGCAGGCTGCTGGCTCATTTGGTATGTTTATATTTAACTTTAAAGAAATGGACAAGCCTTTCCCAAAGTGGCTGCGCCATTTTGCATTCCTACCAGCACCACGGGAGAGTTCCCCTTCCTCTACACCCACAATATTTTTTACTGCCTATCTTCTTGATTATGGCCATCCTAGTGGGAATGAAATGGTCTCACAGTAGTTTTATCTCCCGAAAGACTAATGATGCCAAGCATCTTTTCATGTGCTAATTAGCTCTCCTTTGTGAATTGTCTATTTAAGTCTTTGGCCCATTTTTTGATTGTCTTCTTATTCAGATGCAAGAGTTCTTTGTTTATCCTGGATACAAATCTCTTATCAGGTATTACCCCAGTCTGTTTTTGTCTTTGCATTTTCTTGATGGTATTTTTTGAAGTGCAAGTTTTGAATTTTGATGAGGTTCAATTTATCAATTTTGTCCGTCAGTATAGTTTTAATTTGCATTTCTATGTGTGGGGTTGATCATCTTTTTATATGTCGAACATCTTTTATTATGTTTCAAACCCATTTACATTTTCTTTTTTGAGAGATGTCTGTTCATATCCTTTGGCTTTTTAAAAATATTGGGTTATTGATCTTTTTTTTAATAAATTAATTTTTATTGGTGTTCAATTTACCAACATACAGAATAACACCCAGTGCTCATCCCGTCAAGTGTCCCCCTCCGTGCCCGTCACCCATTCACCCCCACCCTCTTTTTTTTTTTTAAATAGAGCTGTAGGAGCTCTTTATATATGAGAAAAATAATCTCATGTCTGCGGTGCTTATTACAAGTAATTATCCTACTGTGTCATCTGTCATTTGACTTCACTTGGGGTCGGTTTGCCATGCAGGTTAGAAAATTTTTGTGTGTGCCATTTAAAATTTCATTTTGCACCTCTTATGAGCCCTGGGTTGTGCAACAGACGTAGAAATGTCTTCCCACTCTGAGGCTAGAGCATTTCTTCCTTGGCTTCTTCTAGGTTTTTTTTTTTGTTGTTGTTTGTTTGTTTGTTTTGTTTTGTTTGGCATTTAAATCTTTGATCTATCCAGAATCATCCTGGGGTGAGGTATAAAGAAATAGAGATTTACTTTTCTTCTTCTTTTTTCAGATGACAATGTGGTTATTCTACACATTCCCCTTACCAAGAAAGGTAAGATGCCATCTTTACTATGTACTAAATTGACATATGCATTTGGGTACATTTCTTGATTTTCTTTTCTTTTCCACTGATCTGTCTTTATAGTGATTTGTCTGTGCCAATGGGTTTTTTTTTTTTCCAATGGGTTCTTAATAGCATGGTTCAATACTTGGCAGGGCTAGTTCTTCTTCATTACATGTGTTTTCAGAATTTTACTGGTTGTTCTTGTGTATTTGCTTTCACCTGAAGTTTAGAATCAGGTTGGTCACCTTCCGTGTGGCCTGCCTCCACCCCCAACATAATGCCTTTGGTATTTTTGTTTGGATCATATCACACGTGCATTTGATGTTTGGGAGATGTGATGTATTTACGAGATGTGTGTGGAGTATTCCTACCTAAGAATACAGTATGCTTTTCCTTCTTTCCATTTGCATCCCTCACATTTTTTTAAACTTTTCCTCACAGAGAACACACATTTATTATTATGTTTGTTCCTGGATGCTTTATCTTTGTATTGTTGTTGCTGTTGTAAATGGACCATTTTGCTGTATTTTCTATCTAGCTGTTGTTTGCACACATAAAAGCTTTTGCTCTCTGTAACTTACTCCCCATCTTCCTTCTCACACTCTTTAGTTTTCAGTTTATTCTCTTTGCTTTTCTAGGTGTAGAGTGTACCTATAAAAAGTGATCATTTTGCTTCCTCTGTTCCAATTTCTGTATCTCTATGTTCTTGCTCGTGTCCAACAGCGTTCAGTGGATCCCAGGGGAGAGCGGTTACAATGGCCATCCTTGTATATTTCATGACCTTGGTGGAATGGTTTCTAGCAAATTTCATTAAGCATAATATTAGATCTTGAACTAAGAAATACCTTGTCATGTTAAACAACTATTCCTATCTTCTAATTTTTTCGTTTCAGTTTTTAAAATCAAGAATGGATGCTGAATTCGTGAAATGCCCCACCAGCATCCACAGGGATGAACTTATGTTTTTCTTTTTTGGATCATTTTACAGGAAGCAGTGTATTCACAGACTTCTTCAACCCTAGACATTCTTGCATTCTGGAATAAATGCCATTTGACTGCAGTGTTTTGCTAATTTAGTGTGCTGCTGGTTTTGGTCTGCTAATATTTCAGTTTGAATTTTTGCATTAATACTTGTAAGGAAGACTAATCTGTGATTTTATTTGTATTTGGTCTTCTTTTGGAGTATTGGTATCTACATGATTATGCTCACTTTGTAAAAGGTGTTTGTATTGCTTGCTTTTTAGAAACATAAAGTTGAGTATTTATGTACCTGCCATAATGGTCATGCTTGGTCTGTCTCTTCATCCTCCTGCTCCCACTAGTAACAATTATCATGACTTCCTTTGGGATTTCCATGCCTATTGCTGCAGGTACAGTACACAAGTCAGCTCATCTAAATCACAGACCCAGCGTGTGGGGGGACTGGTTCATCACTGCTATGCTGTTCGTACTCTTCAATCACCTGTCTTTACAAGTCATGCTGCTTTGTGGCCTTCTTTGTTTTATTTTAAGTATTAGCCGGACATCTTCATCTTCTTTTGTTTTTAGTAAATTAACCTTACTTTTGAATGTTTCTTGTGCACAATTCAGAAATTGCACCAACACTCTCAATTCTGTAATCATTACCTTTTCTAAACTAACACGGAATGCATTCGGTTTCTGGTCCTGGGCTTTCAAGACACAACTTGTGTCTGACAATTTAGCTGCAGGGACAAGACCTAACCATGTAAAAAAGAGAAATAACATCGAGTTGAAATGACAGTCACTCAGGAGAGGGCTTGATGAACTACCAAATGGTAGGGTGGACAGTACATGGTCACTGAGTTCTGAGGAGGACAGCAGTCTGCCAGAGGGTGGAGTGGGGGCTGAGGAGCTGACATCAGCTTCTGACAGGGGGCTGGGGAAAGAGCACGTCCCTCTAATCCTGACGGCTCACTCAGGGGAGCATGGGCTTGTGGGGGGTCAGGAGGCTGACCGTGGGGTCAGCAGTGCTGAGATGGAGAGACCCTGACTTGCAGCAGAGCTTTTACTGCTGTGTAGTGCTTCATGCTCCTTAACTAGTTCCCTCCTCGTGAGCAGTAGCCTGCTTTCTTTGTCAATGTGATGAACGGGGCAGCCACCAACAGCTGTTTCAATCATCTACGGCAGGGGGTCGGTGAGCAAGTCATATTGCATGGGCCGAATCTGGCCTGCTGCCCAGTTTGTAAATAAAGTTTTATTGGAACACAGCCATGCTCATTCATTACCTACTGTCTGTGTCTACACTCATGCTAGAATGAGTAGTTCATGCAGAGCTGATAGTTATGGCAGAGAACGTATGTTTCACAGCCTCACAAATTTACTATTTGGCCCTTTATGGAAAAAGTTTGTTGTCTCTAGTCTATGGCCACATGTCTTATTTTCTTAGTATAAATTCCTTAAATAGCATTTATGGATAAAGTAATATACACATTTAATATTTACTTGGTTTATGTCCCTCAAAAAGGTCACACTAATTTATATATTTATGCATCCAGCCACAATGTAGGAGAATGACTTCTCTCCCCATGCTCAGCAACTCTAGTGATTACCAGGATTTAAAATTTTTACCAATCCTATAGATGAAAAGAGCTATAGGAACACTATTTTATATTTAAAAAATTTAAAAAGATTTATTTATTTATTCAGAGAGAGAGAGAGAGAGACAGGCAGAGGGAGAAGTAGGCTCCATGCAGGAGGCCCAATGTGGGACTCGATCCCAGGACTCCAGGATCATACCCCGGGCTGCAGGTGGCACTAAACCACTGCACACCAGGGCTGCCCTTTTTTTTTTTTAAGATTTATTTATTTATTTATTTATTGAGAGAGAGAGAGAGAGAGATTTAAGTTTTTTGCTAGTGAGTTTAAAGGTTTTAAAAATTAAGGTAACATTTTTTTGCCTCCTTTTCTACTGAGGTGTTCAGATTTTTCTTAATATTTCCTAAGAACCCTTTATATATGAAAGATAGCTATCATCGCATATGTTGCAAATATTTTCTCCAGTTCTCACATGATTTTAATTCCAATTATGATATTTTTGTTTTTCAGTTTTATGTAGTCCAGTATATCAGCTGGAGTTTATTAGCATGAATTTCATGCTAATTTTAATAGCAATGCTTCTAGTGCTCTGCTGTTGAGCACGATGCAAGTTTTCTCTTGGTTTCTGTGATAAATACTCTGTTGTCACATCTCTCTCAAAGGTAAGACAGGAGAAAGCATGAATTAATTTTGAAGTAAATTTAAAAATACATAATTGATGAGACATCAAAATATCTCCATGCAAATATTTGCAGGAGAATCACCCAAACCTACCAACACTAGGAACCCATCGGGTGTACAGTTAGAGAAACGGGATTACAGTGTATTCATGTTTTATTTCTCCAGCATCTCCGTACCTGTTGCGGAGTCTTGTTGGAAAAGATAATTGCTGACCCTCCTTCTTCCACGTTAGGGTACTCAGGAAACATGCCAGTTAAGTTCCTGAGGAAGAAAAGGAGGGAAATTAAGTAGGAATGGACTCTGTCCTCAGAGTCCCACTGGCTGGCTCTGCCCATGGTCACCGAGATGGGCGAGGGCGGTGAGGGGGAGGCTCCCTGCCCCTTGCGGCCGGACACCCTGCCTCGAAGGAGCAGCAGGACCCGGTCACATTCCTAGAGGTTTTCTTCCTCCAGGCCATTGTGACTCGGAGACAGACACCCCTCTCTCTAGAACAGATTGTTCCCTTTCCTCCCACCCCCTTTTCTTTTTAAATTATTGAGGTACTCTGTGCCTGAGTTAGGAATGAAGACAGAAGCACAAATCATTTCTTCCTGTTTAAAACTTAAGATAAACACAGGGTTTTGAAACTAAACAGAAGGACAGAATTGTTGGTGAAGACAAATTTAGTAACAGTGCGTGAGATGCACGGGCCCGCTTGAGGTTTCCATAGGGCTGAGGCTCCATTGCCTGTGGGGTCCAGGTAGTAATTTGTGCGTTGTGCCACCGTCTAATTTCTACATTTTAAAAAGCAGACTTCGCAATTTAATATTGAGGAATTTCAGGAGGGATGGGTAGTTAATGATTTCTAAATTCCACGAATCCACCGAAGCCAGAGAATCTAAGGATTAAGATGAGACCACAGTAGTGGTTCTCAAACTTTCAGCCTTTGGAGCCCTTTATGCTCTTGAAAATTTCCAAATACCTCAAAGAGCTTTTGTTTATGTGATTTATAGCTATTGATGTTTACTGTAACAGATATTAAAACCAAGAAATTTCTAACGTACACATTTTAACTTCACTTAAAGATAACAATAATAAGCTCATTATGTGTTCACATAAATAACATTTTTAGCATATTTTCCAAAACCAAAAAAAAAAAAAAAGAGTAGTGAGAGAGCGTTCCTGTTCTGCATCTTTGAAGTCTTTTTAACGTCTGGCTTGATGGAAGTTAGCTGCACGTTCATATGTGCTTCTGTATTCATTCTGCTGCAATATGCTGTTTTGGTTGAAGTTTGGGAAGAAAATCTGTCCTCACATTTGGCACATTTCATCATATCAAAATCACATTCATTAATAACTCCCCTGCTCTCAAAACCGAAAGTCTAAGTGATGAGAAGCTCTCAGGCTCACAGAGGTGATTACAAGATTTCTAAAACTTTAATTTTTGCTATGTCGGAGCTTTTCTTTCAGGCTCATTTGGTTCATTTTTGCGAAAACATTTCTCAAAAACATTATTTTTTTTGTCAGTCATTTTCCCTACGGAAAGTGGCTAGGTCAGCCGAAAGCAGACGACCTCACAGGTGCGCTTCCTCACGGCCATCGGACTTCGGGGTGCAGCCCGAGGCTTTCAGGTGCACTTCCAGTTACGTCACATAGAATACTACAAAGCTGTGTGGTCAAGGGTCAAGTGTTAATACAATTATATTTCACAGTGTCCTCAAGGATATTGTTAAATGAAACTTTTTGCTAAAGGCAGATGATAGTGAAGACCACAAGGATTCTGAATTGGGGCCACTGCTTCATGCCGAGGAGCCAGCAGGCCCCGCCTGTGGGGTTTCCTGTGGCTCGTTCGGTAGGAACATGACATAGGTCCCCAGTTTTGTCTTGAAGGGAACTGAACACAATGGGGCACGTGTGGACAAATGCAGGGACAAGGACGCTGGAGGTGACCTCACACTAAGTGTGCCCTTCTGTCAATGGAGCTACCATCATTGTAGCTACGGTGGCCACATGCACTCATTTACCCATCTGTCTGTCCGTCCATCCATCCATCCGTCCATCCATCCATCCATCCATCCAATCAACAAACACCTGATTAGTACCAACTAGAGTCTGGATGCAGTGATGTTAGAGAGTGATCTGAAGACTAAAACGTGAGCCCTTGGCCCGATGCCTCACCTTCCACAGTCACACGGCTGGTACATATAGCTGACCTCAGACACTGCTTGTCCACAAGACTCAAATCTCAACTCTTATTAAATTGCCTGACCACAGTCTGTCTGGTTTTGTGCCTCACTTGGCCTTGACAGGTCTTGGATAAAAACTATGAACACATTGGGACTAAAAGCGCGAGCATTCTCTCTTCTGTGCACCCACCCATTCCCCTGACGGCCCCTTTACAGGCAGCTCCACTGTCTAATTTTATTTCTACGCTTTGAAGCTTGATTGTTTTTGAGGAAGCAGAACAAACCTAGAAACTTATATAAACTAAAAACTGAAAGGATTTACCTGTGCCATTTCTAAAGTGGAATTCTTAATTATATTACACATCAATCGTCATAGTAAGATTTAATATTACATGATTCGTAGTACTTTTTTGCGAAAATAGCATTAACTATATTTATTTTTAACAGATAAAAGAACATGTTTAGTTTTTTTTTTTTGGTCACATTAGGTTAAGTAATTCATGATAATCTGAAATTGGATGTCTTGACCCTGAAGAATGCAACAACTGTTGCGTGTAAAAGATTTATTTTAAAATTTACATCTTGAAATGATAGTGTAGCCTGATAGGCTTGTCTCACCTTCATGTGCACTTATTGTGTGTGCATAGTGTGTGTTTGCACGTCTTTGCATTGTGTGTGTCTGTGCATGTGTGTGCATGCACATTGCGTGTGTGCATTGCATGTACACACATAACCACATAATGCACATACATGCACACCAATACACTGCACACACAGTATGCACACACAAATGCAAGTATACACACATATATGCACACACATGCACCATGCACGCACACACGCGTGCACACACATACACACTTCCTTGTGCTCACACCACCGCATGTTCTCCCTCCCTTGGCAAGGAGTCCTCTGTCCCCACAGCAGTCGGTTCCCTGCTTTGGGATATTCCGGATGCGCCCTGGGTTTGCACTGATTGGGGTTCTCCTCTTATTCCTGTCCGTGACTTAGTCACCTAGCGCACACTGAGACAAAACACGTTTTGAATTTTACGTTATGTTTCCCTGGCTGCTGGGTTTCAGCCTCACATTTTCAGTTGTGTGCTATGGTACAGATGGGGCCAGGGCCTCCTTCTCCCATGTCAGGGTGCCAGAGCTGGGACACAGCTGATCTCTCCTGCTGCACATCATAAGGAAGCTGTGAGGTGATGAGGGCTTTGGCACTCTGAGCTCAGCACCCCGTGAGCTGTAAAACCTCAGACTTGGGGCGAGGGGAGAGGATGTTTTTTGGCTCCCATCATGTTCCTGACAGAAATAGCTGGGCGCTGACAGCATCAGCTGCAGGTGACAGTCCGTCTGGGGACTTCCGAGGGAGTGACTGAGGACCTCCAATGACATGGTGTCAGGAAAGATTACAAGTGGAAACAACGTATCTGGTTTCTGTTGGACGCCGCTCCCCGCATGGGCACTTCATTCCTATCTTTGCCTTCTCTGCAGTCCCCGGATCACCAGGGGCGGAGGCCATCCTTTCACCTGGGCAGACGTGTATGTTCACTACCCACGGTATCTGAACACCAGTGGGGCCCATACAGAAAACCCACTGCTGTGCTTAGGGCTGACTCATGGTGTGAACATTGCCATTATTCAAACAACTGGAATTGCAAAATGATGGGCTCTTGGCCTGGAAAGTTCTCCTACCCACCCCTCTCCAAGATCTGCAACCGGTTGTCTGAATGTGTCCTAGGGGAGGGGAGTGGGGCACAGCCATCAGGTAGAGATGGCTGGTCTCCTCTGTCACTGGTGGAAGGGACTCCCTGCTCTCCATGATGGGCTAGCCTGGTCCTGACCCCCTGGACCTTAGAATGTGGCCTTATTTGGAAACAGGGCCATTGCAGATAGCATTAGTTGAGAAGAGGTCATACTGGATGGAGAGAGTTGGTGTGAATCCAATATGACTGGTGTCCTTATAAAAGGGGGTAATTAGGACCCCAGAGTAGACATGCACAGGGGGAGGACCATGTGAGGACAGAGGGAGGACCGTGTGAAGACACAGGGAGAAGATGGCCAACCACACGCCAAGGAGAGAGGCCTGGAACAGCCTACCTCACAGTCGGCGCATGGAAGCAACTGGATCAACATCACAGCAGTGGTCTTGAACTTGGAGCCCCAGACAGTGAGGGAGTGAATTCTCGTTGTTTCCGCTGCCCCGGTCATGGTACTTGTTACAGTTGCCCTTGGAAGCTAATCCATGAGTTTGGCGATGAATTCGCTGCTGCTAACTTCCCCTGATGCTCTATCACTCCATTCTGGTCTCTGTGGATCTTTCAGATGGCCGAGTCCTCTTTTCTGGAAGGTTCTCTTCCTTGGCTTCCTTTCTTCTTGCCTTTCTCGCTGACCCTCCATTTTTTAGGGCCCCTTCCTCTGCCTCACACAGAAGGAGCTCAGACTGCATGGTCTGTAATCGGTATTTGAGCTCTCCACTGTCCCTTCCTTCTGAAATGAAGGGCTAATTGGATTCCCTCTGTGCTCTCCTGTCCCCGCTGACCACCTGCTTAGCCTTCTGGGCCAGGTCCTCCTCGTCTCCCCTACCTGAAGGTGCCGGGGGACCCAGGCCTCCATTCTTAGGCTCTTTTCCGTGCACAGCCATCAGGGTCTCATCCAGTTTCATGGTTTCAAACCTCACCGCATGCTTCACCTCTCCCAACACCTCGTCTCCTGCTCATCCGTCCCCTGGAACTGCAGGCCTCCATTCAACTGCCTGCCCAGGATCCCCCTGCAAAGTGCAGTGAGTTCTTCATGCTCAGAGAGCCCAAACTCAGCCCTCATTCTCACCTTGCCCCCCAAACCTCTTCTTGGTCTTGTATTTCCCCATTTCAGAAAATGTGAACTGTTCTTCTAGTGACTCCAAGGGTGAAAACCTAGAATCTTGCTCTTGTGCTCTCCTCTTTCATACCTCGTCCATCCACCAACCCTGCTGGCTCTACCTTCTGACCACACCTGTGGTCTGACTGCCTGTCATTGCCTGTGCTGGTCCCAGCCACCACCATCTCCACTTGCCTTACTATGAGGAACTGGTCTCCCTGCAGCCCACTGCTCC